CTCTCTCTCCCCCCTCCACCTTCCCCTCTCCCTGTCCCTCTCCCCCTCCCTTCTCCCCCTCCCCTCTCCCTCTCTCTGTCTGAACGTGTGAATAGCTCACCCTCTCGTTAAAGACTTTTCCGCTCTCACAGTACTATAACAGAGGCAATATGTCAATTGTATAAATAATTCTTACCTGTTACCAATGCTCAGTGTTACATCTAGAATCTCAAAGACTTAGCCAAAAATTTCTAACACTCTATTGAAATCAGTTGCCCTATAAAAAGCTGTATGATACCAGTAGGCCTACTTTATGGCTCAAAATAATCATAAGAATATTTACCAAAAAGAATCAAACAGCTATTGGCCATTCTAGTTACAAAATGAAGAACCTGTATCTCTTCGTACTGTGAGAACAAGATGTCCAAATACAAAACTGGTCTGGCTTTATTTGAATAGATAAGGGCATACTTTCGATATTTAACTCTTTCACTGCCAGAGGGTTTTCCTCACCTGAACCGGGCCCTGTCTGTGATCTGCTTTCTGGTACTGCCTACCTTCAGAGAAATTAAAGATTTTTAGTTCATTTTTCAATATTAGCCACTTGTATAGGAAAATAAAGGAGACATATTGACCTATCTCAACAGGTAGCTAGAAATTATCATTCTTCAGTCTGGGATTTCTGTTTCGATTATCCCAAAAGTAGGACTGGTTTGAAGCAGAAAGTGGAGAGCCATGAAAAACGGCTCACAGCCCAGCGTTGAGAGTATCTCAAGCCATGAAGCATGCCTCGCGGTAGTGAAAGAGTTAAAAATCAAGCATCCTTTTCTCCTCAGGCTGTTATGACTATGGTCCCCGAGGCCTGGCAAAATGATGTCACCATGACGAAAGAAAAACGGGACTACTACCGCTGGTGTGCTTTCTCCATGGAACCCTGGGATGGCCCGGCGCTTCTGACCTTCACAGACGGCCGTTATATCGGAGCCATCCTGGACAGGAATGGACTGAGGCCTTCGAGGTTCTATGTGACCAAGGACAACTTTATGTACATGTCCAGCGAAGTAGGAGTCACGGACTGCAAGCCTGAAGATGTTGTTCAGAAGGTAATTTCAAAGCTGCCATGCAAGGGCTTCAAAAAAGATGAGGTTTTCTCAGATTTCCTGTGCTCATTTGACATACATGATTACATCTGGAACTGAAAGACCCAATTGATCTTTTCTTCTTTTTTTTATGTTCTTAGGTATGAACATAGGCATGTCTCTTTGAAAACAAGTCTTTTTTCCTACCTGTTTTCAATTTCAAATCTCTGAGATTAGATATTGATTACATTATTTTTGCATTTTATTAATTCTTTTGTTCTATTTTTCAGGTTTTCAAATTTCTTACATTAATTTTCTGGTAAAAGATCTGCTACAAATGAAAACAATAGAAACCTTGCAGAATTAAGACTGATCATTAATGACCAATTCTTTCCAAACCTTAACTTGACTATAACACCACTGTTTTGAATGATATCTAAACATCGACAGTTTAACTATCTATTCACTTGTTGTTTTTAAAAACTATCTTCTGTTGAGTATGCCTAGAATTTTTGCCTTGCTCACAAAAGCCGTGAGTCTGATTTGTTTGTGGGGTAGATATTTTATTAAGCACCTCTATCTTTCTGCTAAGATTTAGTTTCCCACACAGCCCGGTTTGGCCCTGACAGACAGCGGAAAAAAACCCTGCTTCCTAAATCATGTTAGTTGTGTCAATTGGGATGTAAAACATTTATTTATTTGGCTCTTATGATCTAGATATGTGAGGCAGCGAGGTGGAATCAGGCTCTCGTCAATTTTTGGGCATGTAGAGTTATTGGTATCATCGTAAAGCTTGTTCACTTGTGTTTATTTGGATGAAAAAAATATCCATTTATCTTGAATACAAGTCGACATATTTGTGAAGGAAGGAGGTGGGGGTCACCTGTTTTCAGAGGTAAAAGTAGATAGAAAATGGCCGCCAAAGATTAGTTATTTCCTTAGCTTAAGAGTCCGTAGTAACTGAAAATTTACATTTTTTGTGCCTTTAATCAACGTTTTTCAGAAAAATCCCACAGAAATGAGTTCTTTAATGGGCATGAAAGGTGTTGAGCCAAAAAACAAAAAATTGATAAAAATTCACAAACCTGCAGAAAAATGCAATTTTTTTCACTTTCATTATTTTGACGAGAACCTGATTCCACCACGCTGCCTCACATATGTTTATGTGACTGCTCAAAACTCATTTGTGTAAGTCTTAGTTGAGGTGCGTTAGCGCATGTTTGGATAGTCTAGTTTTCACTGCTGTCGTTTTGTGTATGTAATAATTTATGGCTGAGAAACTTCTCCCTTATGTGGTGGAACTAGTTTTTGTGTAAAAAGAAATATGTGAGGCATCGTGGTGGATTCAGACGCTCGCCAAAATGATGAAATCAAAGAAACTGACGTTTTTCTGGCCGTTGGGCAATTTTTAAAAAAAATTGGGGGGGGGGGGGGGGGGGGGGGCGCTCAACACCTTCAGATCTAATGTCCATTCAAAAATTAATTTCTGTGTAGATTTTTATTAAAAAACGTTGATAAAAAACTTTTAAAAAATATATTTTCAGTATCCAAGGACTCTCATGGTATGGAAGTCACCGAACTTTGGTGGCCATTTTCTTGCTAATTTTACCTCTGAAACCAGGTGACCCCCACCTCCTTCAATCGCAAATATCTTGACTGTGGATATTTTTTTCACCAAAAGCAAGACAAATGAACAGGTTTTAAGACATTACCAATAACTCCACATGCCCTAAAATTGACGAGCGCCTGAATCCACCGCGTCGTGACACATATATGTGTGTGAATTTTATTTGCAGTAATCATGTCATGGATTAAAGCGCTCAGAGCTTATACTCGAGTGAGACAGAGTACTATATCATCATCATCAATGCCTTTCCCCCCCTGGCAGGATAAAGGCCACGTACAAGCTCCTTCCATTTATCTCTGTCCTGGGCCATCCTTTCACCCCTGGCAGGATAAAGGCCACGTACAAGCTCCTTCCATTTATCTCTGTCCTGGGCCATCCTTTCACCCCTGGCAGGATAAAGGCCACGTGCAAGCTCCTTCCATTTATCTCTGTCCTGGGCCATCCTTTCACCCCTGGCAGGATAAAGGCCACGTACAAGCTCCTTCCATTTATCTCTGTCCTGGGCCATCCTTCCAAGCTCGTTTCAAGTGAGCTTCATCTCTCTCATGTCCCTTTCCACATATCTCCTCCATGTTTCCTGTGGCCTGCCCCTGCCTCGTGCTCCCTGTGGATTCCACTGCAGCGACTATCTTGTGATGTTTCCGTGGGCTTTCTGAGGGTGTGTCCTATCCATCGCCACTTTCTTAGTCTTATTTCTACTTCTATATATCCTTTTGTCCTGTCCTTTCCCACAGCTCCTCATTTTTTATGCTATTCTGCCACTTAATTCTTAGGATACTCCTCATACATCTGTTGATGAAAATCCGGACTTTATTCAGCACTGTTTTTGTTGTCTTCCAAGTTTTGCAGCTGTAGAGGAGCACAGACTTGACATTGGAGTTAAAGAGTTGAATCTTGGTGCGCAGTGAGATGTTGGTTGCTTTCCAGACTTTTTATAACTGATTGAATGCTGACCTTGCCTTGGCGGTACTTGCTTTTACATCTGCCTCAGTTCCACCTTTACCATCGATGACACTTCCAAGAGTGCTATATAACTTCAATCTATTATCATTATTATATACAACCCATCACACCCCGTCTCCACGCAAATTGTAAGATCACGCAGCGGCAGATATGTACCTCTAAAAACAAAGAAAGAAAGATATAAAAGAATTGTTTTACCATCTAGCATAAGGCTATTGTCAGAATAAGCATTAATATGTATTGCTCTTTCGAGTATGAATCTATAACTCTAAATGTCTTGTAATTAAATTCCTGCTTGTGGTCGAATGATACCTCTGATGTGATATGTACATTTTGTCAGCTTTACTTTTCTTTTCATATTGAATTTTAATGAGAGAAATATATAATTTAAATTTGTTTGTATACCTGCATGTGTTCTTACGGTCCTGTACAGCCAAGAAAAATTTCCCTCTGGGATAATAAAGCATTATCTTATCTTATCTTATCTTATCTTTTGTCCCCAGGGCCGTCTCAAGCCAGGCAGGATGCTCCTGGTGGACACCAAGGAGAAACTCTTCATCAAAGATGAGGTCCTGAAGAGACAGCTGGCTCAGCTGAGACCAGTGGCCCAGTGGCTGGAGGTTTGTACCGCAAGATTTTGGGACAGTTTGACAGTGTGTGGAAACATACTCTTGCTTTTTTATCGAGAACTTTTTTGTTTTGCATTCAAAAGAACTGAGGACGATTCTCTTGCTGGCAGGATGTTTCATTTTGTATCTCTGTCTCTTTTTGTCAAAACTCAGGATGGCCATGACTATGCAATTTATTTTATATCTGCGTCTTTTTGTCAAAACTCACATGGTCGTGACTTGGGGGGTCAAAGTGGCCGACCTCCTATGTAGGCTAAATTGTGTCAGTGAGGGGGTAAAACATTAACAATCACTTGTAATAAAAAAAGTAAAGGCTGTTTGAGACAAGGTGCTACCACGCTCGTGATATTGGAAGACAATCCTGCGTTTTGGATGTCATGCATCTTAACACCTCTCCAGTGTGTATTGTATATCTATAATGTCGGCATCTGGCTTCACATAGTCTTACTGGTAATCAGTATGTGCTTTTTTTGCATCCTTGGGTAGAATAATTAGTGTCTATGTCCCTCAGCCAGATTTTCAGATCTCTCATAACTGAGAAGCATGTAGTTGACTTTACAACAGCAAGAATGTAGTCTTTTGCGGTGTTTTTTCTAAGGTGATAAAAAATGCACCACCTCTAAAAACTAGTTAAGTGTTAACACTTTATTTGTGCTGATGAAGGGGAGAAAAAGCTCAAAGTCCATTATCTGATTTCCTCAGAAATCGGTAAACATGGGTGAACTGCGTCAAGTGTACAGAGACCTTCAGGACAACTTCCAGGTACGACCAATGGATCTACAGCCGTCACCAGTGGGCGCATTCATTGAAGAAGACGCCCGCCTCAACCTGTACTCTTTCACAATGGACGAGATCAACAGACTAGTGCTTCCGATGGTCAAGGAAAAGTGAGTGAATGTTGCTCAACCGTGAAATCAATGTGTAAATCTGTCACGACACATTGGAATCAGGCGCTCACCAATTTGAGGGTGTGCGGAGTTATTGATATCTTCTTAAAAAAGCTTGTTCACTTGTCTTGCTTTTGATGAAAAGAATACCCATCTGTCTCAAATAGAAATCAAGATATTTTAAATTGAAGGAGGTGGGATTGCCTGGTGTCAGTGGTAAAAGTTGCAAGAGAATGGCCGCCAAAGTTTGGTGTTTTCCAAAGCTTTAGTGTCCTTGGAAAGTGTAAATTTACATTTTTTCTGCTTTTGATCAACGTTTTTTAAGTAAAATTCACTCTGAAATGTGTTATTAAATTAACATAAATAATGTTGAACTAAAACACAATTTGAAAAGAAGTGCCCAACGGATGAATAAATGTCGGTTTTTGTGATCTCATTATTTTGGCAAGGCAAGTGCCTGATTTCACCACAATGCCACACAAATGATTCACAATAACTCGTTTACCTGTTATAAATGCAATTCGAACCGGTGTCATATTGAAAAAAGATTTCAAATACATGTGGCAGAAAAAAATACAATTCGATGGCTGTATGCAAGACGCTGCATAAACATCAAATTGCATATTGGCCTGTGTCAGAGTTTTGCATCCAACCTTCAAGTTGTTCTTTTTTAAGAAAGTGTTGTGTTTTTAAAAAATATTTTACTGACCCCTATCAAGATGTCCACCTATTTAAGGTAATCACTTTTCTCCTGGGCAAAGGGTGGTTTTCTTGGACAATTTCATCTGTATTTTGTGCTATTTTTTATACTGACCCGTAGAATGGTGTTTCCATGGGAACTGTAATGAGATGATAAGTGCTGTTTAATCCTAGATTCTACTCGTTAGTCCATCCACGTTGTTTTCAGTTCTCACTGTTTCGAGCAGGGAACGATCCAATGTGTGTGGGTCGTACAGGTCCGGAGCTCCATCCACTGCGTCGACCAACCAGTAGCGTCGATCCCTGCTCAGCCTAGATTTAAGTCGTGGCTCGGAAGGCCAGTTCAACCTTCGCGTCTGTTTATATACCCCCACCCCCCTGTGCTCCCTTATTCTCCTACACTCACTAGGCCACACTGAGTTTGTTCACTTATTTCACGCGCTTGTGGTTTGTCTGGTAATCACAGCGAATTAGACCGCAGGAACTAAAAGACCTTTTACTCTTGAGTTATCCTCCCTTTCCAGATTCGATATTCATATAAAGTTATGACAATAATATCCATTGCTGAAGAAAAATACCTTCATAGCTATGTTGCTTGTTACACTGTTATTTTATAGTGTCAAGTTATTGTTTCTCTCTGTTTCCAGCATGTTTTTAAAACATGTTCTATCTGTTCAAGTAACAGCAGTACTGGGGAGTATAGCTGGTTTTCTTTTAGTGGGAGGGTGTGTGTCTGTCTGTCTGTGTGTGTGTGTGTGTGTGTGTGTGTGTGTGTGTGTGTGTGTGTGTGTGTGTGTGTGTGTGTGAATGTGAGAGAGAGTGAGAGAGAGAGAGAGAGAGAGAGAGAGAGAGAGAGAGAGAGAGAGAGAGAGAGAGAGAGAGAGAGAGAGAGAGAGAGAGAGAGAGTGAGTGAGTGAGTGAGTGAGTGTGTGTGTGTCATAGACTTGAATTATAACACTAGACTGGGCACTGTCACATCGGCCACTCTTTTCTCTTCCTAAAAACCTTCACTGGGATGGCACCCACTTGATTGTGCAGAAGGAGGGAAAAACACAAGTCTCGCCATAGTCAATTGTGGGTACACAATTGTGGGTACACAATTTTTGTCTTTTTTTCAGGAAAGAAGCCCTTGGCTCCATGGGCAACGATGCCCCTCTGGCCTGCCTGTCCCAGTTCAACCCACTCATGTTCACCTACTTCAAGCAGCTGTTTGCACAAGTGACCAACCCTCCCATTGACCCGTTCCGAGAGAAGATTGTCATGTCTCTGGTACGTGATGCACAGACCATTTATTAAAATGTTGGAGGGGAGGAGAGGGGGGAGGGAGAGTGGAGGGGGGGGGAGAGGTGAGGAGGAGGGAGACGAGAGAGGGGGGGGGAAGGATGAGACGAGAGGGGAGGAGGAGGAGGGAGAGGAGAGGGGGATGAGACAAAGAGGGGGAGGGGGGGGGATATTTTCAGGTCCGGACATATTCTGTCTCTTCGAAAGTGGCAGAGTTTCTTTTGCTCTTGTCTAATCAAATAGCAAACGTCACACTTTCTGCATGACTTGAATCGAGAGCAAGACAATATTTTCAGATAACTGATGCCAAATGTTACCTTGCAGATAGACCAAAAGATCTGTATTCTTAAATAAAGCTCTGCTTTTGTCAATGTTTGAAAAGTGTAGTGCTAACATTGTGGGTCAAGTATTCAGCTTCATATTAACTACTGCATTTCAACAAAAAGAAAGAAGAATGCATATCGTGAAGGACATGCTTATTGTTTTCTTTATCCCCTTTGCGAGGCAAATTCTTTTCAAAACTGGATGAGGCTGTTTGGGCAACTAGCGATGAAAGCTTTAATACCTGTTTTGCTGTAGCTGTACAAGTTTGAAAAAAAAAAAGATTTTTTAAAAGAAAATAATCAAGTGCTACACCATGGAAAAGAAAATTGGACAAGCTGTCTAAAAGTTTTCAAAAGAATGCAGAAAATGCCCAAAAAGTCAACTCAAAGGTCAAGAAAGATGTCGAAATAACAAGGAAAAAAGCCAAAATGGAACTGAACTATACACAAAACTGACAGGTTAATTCCACATGTTATATCACATGTAACAAGAGGGTTAATGTCTGTTGAAAGCAGAGATGGCTGGCCAAAAGCCGCCCTGGTGCGGGTATTGTGGATACTGGTAGACATCCATCCGTGTGGTGCGGGTATTGTGGATATTGGTAGACAACCCTCCGTCCCGGTTCGGAGAGTTTAGCTCCTGACACACCCAGTTTGAGAGCAACAATCACAGAGGGCAACAAATCATATGAGGTTTCACGAAATTGAAATGCTAAAATCAAATGAGGCTGCAGAAATTAGTAATGCTGAAGCCAAGAGAGTAGCCTGCATGCTGGGCACATTCACATGGGGAAATGAAACTTTGAAATACTCAAAATGCGGGAAACTCTTCTTTGCCACAATTGATCTCAACTGCTATAGCAAAAGTCACAGACCATCTTAATCCTTATTTTTTTCAGTTTCTCTTCAAGAAATATTCTACTTGGCAGATACAATGGTCATCATCAGAAATTGACAGTAGTAGTAGTAGTAGTAGTAGCAGTAGCAGCAGCAGCAGCAGCAGCAGCAGCAGTATATTATTAATCATTATATTATAAAGAATATTATCATCATCATTAATATTATTATTATTGTTGTTATCACAAGTATTAGCCGATTGTTATTATTATTATTATTAATATATATATTATATTATCATTATTATTATATTCTTTTCTCCCAGGCATGTCCTGTGGGTCCCGAAGCGAACATTTTGGAGCCTGGTCCCGACCAGTGTGAGCGTCTGTGGTTGGAGCAGCCAATCCTCTCGTTGCCCGACATGGAAATGTTGCTCACAATGGACTACAAGGGATGGAAGGTAGGGTGAAAGATCTGGAATTTGATCCTTGCACATGTTGTTTGTGATCAATGAAACTGTATTTCAGTACAAACATGCCTTCCTTTTTGGGGGCTCAAGTTTAAATCAGGGCTGCAATGAACCTCCCTTTGTTCTGCTGCTGAAGCGAATACGAGTATTATGACAATTCACCACTGAAGGGTTGATAAGGGTTCCCGGTACAGTTACTATAAATAGTTCCAAAAAACATGTCATTATGTGCTTCGCATTTACTTATAACTTCCAATGTACTAGTTAGGTTATTTTTAATAGAGTTCCATAACCAAAATGTGAGGGTCTGGGTACCGTGAAGAAGGTTGGGGCCTAATTGTCTCTTAATGTCAAACCAGTCGGACTGCATTTATAGTGCCATGAAGTTGTGTTTACTTTTCCTCTCAAAATGTCTTGACTCCCCAAACTACCCAGGTTCAAGAATGAATGCCTCATAAGGGGTACGACCCAGGGTCTTTTTCTGCCCTGTAGTCGAAAGTGACATGACTCCATCAAGGGTGGCATGTTCTTAACTAACAGTGTGCCAATGTTTTCGGTGTTGCTCATTCTTAACTGAAAAAAAAAGCCCCAAAAAACCCAAACAAAAAGTTGCAGTGTTTCTGTATGTTGTTTTTGTTGTTATTGATCCAGCAACAGCCAGGCTGTCGCCCTTCTGCTAAATGCCATGTTGTGATAAATGCAGGTTTGCTGCAGTTGCTGTAATGTTCCTTACAGTGTGTGGTCAATGTTAGGTCTTGGAGGGAGAAGTGTAGCTATTTTGTCATTCAGGGCTGTGCAGTGGAAAAAGTGTTTCTGTAATCTGCCGTAAGCTGATAAAACACCTTTTTTTCTTCACAGCAGTTTTGAGAAAAAAAGGGGGTTTTTTGTCAGCGTAACCATTTCAAGATAGAATGATTTCGAAAATGTGAATTCTAATTTATTTAAAAAACTAGTCTCAGTTTCACTTTGATTTTTTCCCACAAATAGGGTAACTGATCAGGCTTTCGAGTTAGCAAGTAAAAAATGTTGGCGCCAAAGAGTAAAAATGCGTTTTGTCAGCTTATGACAATAATGTATTATGATTTTGTCTTTCAGTCCAAAGTGATCCCCATGGTGTACCCAGTGTCTGAAGGCCCAGAGGGACTCAAGCCGGCCCTGCTGCGGATCTGTGAGGAGAGCGCAGCTGCTGCAGAAGAGGGCTTCAAGCTTATTGTCCTTTCTGACCGCTCGGCTGGGCAAGACAATGTACCCGTCAGGTGAGGCTTTATTCAAGGTTGCTGCTGGAAAGCAGGAGTAACAAACAATGAGGAATGTTAGATTCTCCACACAATACAAACTCCGCTTAACAAAATAGATTGTAGAATGATATAATACAGTATAATGCGGATAGGTCGAACACAGAAGACTCGAAATCACGCATCATTCAAACTGTGCCTGTGGTCCCGTATTTTTTTCATCTTTATGTTCATAAGAAATTACTCGAACTGCGGATCCTTCGAACTACCGAGGCCAATCCTGACGAAATCAAGCTATCTGTGTTATACTGTACTTTGGTCACTTGAAACGACACCAGACCATTGTGAAAGAGGTGCTTGAGTGAAGGATGTGGGGCAGGAGAGCCAGGGGAAGACAAAAAGTAACATGGATGGATAACATTAACACATGGACTAGTCTGGGTATAGCAGAATCTGCACCTGCAGCTCGCAACCGTGAAGGATGAAGGGTTATTACACGTCAACCTCTGAATCAGAAATGACACCTCCTGGGCTTTCCTATTGTTTCCCAGATGTCTCGACAATATGAATTGTTTTCGCATTTTATCTCTGTCTTGAAGTTCATACCTCCTTCAAGAATAAGTATATGTCAAAATTTACTTTTCTGTACTTTTCAGCCTCTATGAATGTTCTGGCTTAATGTGCTTTTTTGTACAGTTATGTTTTTGTGAATGTTGTATCAAAATACAATTTTCTGTATAATCCTGTGTTATATAAAATCTTACTACATGTAAGTGGTAAGCTATGTTTTCATTTTGTTATATTGGATGAGCGCTTTTTACTTCACTTCATAGTCGTCTTACAATATCAAACGTTTTGACACCAAGCTTAAAGATGGGGTATTGCCTGGATGTGTCACGAGGCGAAAGACAAAAGTTGTTCCTAAAATATTGGATATTGTGACCTGCATGAACCAGCAGTGGTGTATGCAATAAGTTATTTACAGATGTGTAAAGAGATGTGCCAAACATGTTTCATTGTGAATTGTACCTTAAAATTTCTCCTAAAATACTATACCTATTTCATAATCTAGTTTACACATGTCATTTCAGTCATGTTTACGGTAGGTATATTATGCCGTTGTTCCGAACTTGCTGAGTTGTTGTACCCAGAGTGACGTTATATTATTTGTTTGTTGAAATTCTGGTATATAAAAAAAAAATTCTTTTTATATATTTCCATAGCTCCCTGCTTACCATTGGTGCTGTGCATCATTACCTGATTGACAAGAAGCTCAGGATGAAGGTTGGCATTGTCTTGGAGACAGGTGAAGCCAGGTGAACAGGTTTTTTTTGTCTGGTAGTTGTTTTTTTGTTGTTTGTTTTTTTATGGGTTATTTTTTTTTGCAGTGAGTTACTTTTACTTTACTTTTACTTTTCCATCCTCTGTTGCCGTTAAGCGTCGAAGGGAGATGCAGTTTTCTATAGTAGGCCAGCTCCGCAGCTCTTTCATTTGTGATGTTATGTTTTCTTAGGGTTTCCTTGACACCCTCGATCCACCTTTTGCGTGGCCTTCTGCTTCCTTTATAGCCTGAGTGCTTGGTGTTGTAGGCTCTCGGGTCTGGCTGGTCAGGTGACATGCGTAACAGGTGGGCAAACCATTTTATCCTCTGTCTTTCTATGTAACGAAATGACTCAGCTTTTGGTCAAAATATTGGCTCAAAAAACAGCTGGACAGATGGATAAAGTTAGTACAGAGAAAATTTGCCACCTCTTTGTAGTTGGAACAAAGGAGTTCTAGCACCTCAGCAGTTGGGGAGTTCCTCCCCCTGATGATGAGACAGCTGAGAATTTTTATCCTTCTACCTTTTGAGATCATGTTTAGATCTCACTTTCATCTATACACACATTAAAAATATATGTATATAACACATGTATGTCTTTCCGTTTGCTTCAAGAGTCTTTGATTGTTTAAACCTCCAAGTGTTGCTGACAAATAGCCTATGGTGACTTCACCACGTTATGTTGTAAAATTCTCGAGGACAGGCAAGTCAAGCAGGTAAAGGCCATAAACCTACTCATTTTCAGAAAGTAGAATGTAAATAGAAAGCAGAGCTCATCTCCCTCCCCCCCCCCCCCCACCCCCACCGGGGCGGAGTCACTGATTCAACAATGTCATGCTCATAACTGTGCCTGAACTGCAACAGGGAACTGCTGCTTTTTCTTTCCTAATCCTTACTATCGCCATTTTCCTCTTCTTCTTTTGTATGTTTGTCACACTCTTGTGACCCTCTCTTTCCGGGGTGCCTTGATAGTCGAAGCAGACTTTGTACTGCTGAGGCTAGAGAGGTGAGCAGAGTAAGCCCGATTCCCTGTAAAGACTTCTCTGTTGACATCCACCCCTTGGTGCTCATATGACATAATGCAGTTGCGAGCGCCATAAAACCTCTACTAAAAAAAAAGAAGCTCCTTTTTGAAGGAGTTGAGATGGTTAAAAATTAGGTAAATGAGCCAAATAATGATGAAGATTATGGCCAATTAAATCCGCTGCGACACCACCAAATAAAATTTACGGCCAATTTAATCCGCCAATGACACTTGGAAGGTTTAAGTTTTGAACAAGTGGAAAAGAAAATTAGTACATGCGTGTTATAATCTTCCAAACAGAGAGATCCACCACATGTGTACTCTGCTTGGCTACGGTGCTGACGCAGTTTGCCCCTACCTGACCTTTGAACTGATGCATCGTCTCCGCCTTAGAGGTGTCATTGATGAGAAGTACGATGATCGTGCCATTTTCCTGAATTATCGTGCTGCTTGCGCTCGTGGCATCTCCAAGGTCATGGCTAAGATGGGTATCTCCACTTTGCACAGCTACAAGGTAGGACGTTTGTTTTGCAGTGGTTTGGGAATGAAAGATCATTATAGTTGCCTATGTGAACACAGCTACAAGGTAGGACGTTTGTTTTGCAGTGGTTTGGGAATGAAAGATCATTATATTTGCCTATGTGAACACAGCCACAAGGTAGGATGTTTGTTTTGCAGTGGTTTGGGAATGAAAGATCATTATATTTGCCTATGTGAACACAGCCACAAGGTAGGATGTTTGGTTTGCAGTGGTTTGGGTATGAAAGATCATTATATTTGCCTATGTGAACACAGCCACAAGGTAGGATGTTTGGTTTGCAGTGGTTTGGGTATGAAAGATCATTATAGTTGCCTATGTGAACACAGCCACAAGGTAGGATGTTTGGTTTGCTGTGGTTTGGGTATGAAAGATCATTATAGTTGCCTATGTGAACACAGCCACAAGGTAGGATGTTTGGTTTGCAGTGGTTTGGGTATGAAAGATCATTATAGTTGCCTATGTGAACACAGCCACAAGGTAGGATGTTTGGTTTGCAGTGGCTTGGGAATGAAAGATCATTATAGTTGCCTATGTGAACACAGCCACAAGGTAGGATGTTTGGTTTGCAGTGGCTTGGGAATGAAAGATCATTATAGTTGCCTATGTGAACACAGCCACAAGGTAGGATGTTTGGTTTGCAGTGGTTTGGGTATGAAAGATCATTATAGTTGCCTATGTGAACACAGCCACAAGGTAGGATGTTTGGTTTGCAGTGGTTTGGGTATGAAAGATCATTATAGTTGCCTATGTGAACACAGCCACAAGGTAGGATGTTTGGTTTGCAGTGGTTTGGGTATGAAAGATCATTATATTTGCCTATGTGAACACAGCCACAAGGTAGGATGTTTGGTTTGCAGTGGTTTGGGTATGAAAGATCATTATAGTTGCCTATGTGAACACAGCCACAAGGTAGGATGTTTGGTTTGCAGTGGTTTGGGTATGAAAGATCATTATATTTGCCTATGTGAACACAGCCACAAGGTAGGATGTTTGGTTTGCAGTGGTTTGGGTATGAAAGATCATTATAGTTGCCTATGTGAACACAGCCACAAGGTAGGATGTTTGGTTTGCAGTGGTTTGGGTATGAAAGATCATTATAGTTGCCTATGTGAACACAACCACAAGGTAGGATGTTTGGTTTGCTGTGGCTTGGTTATAAAAGATCATTATAGTTTTCTATTTGAATTTGATCAAAAGTCTGAGGAGTCAAAAACTGGAGTACTCTTGGGTACGACAAGTCCATCTTAACCCTTTCGTTGCCAGGGGGTATACGTTCCTACTGTCAATACTGATTTTCAGCTGAGCTCGTTACCCAGGACAGCAGCCTAATGTCTCAGTGTTAATGGACGCGCTGTCTAGATCTAGTGCACTCATGACATATTTCGGACACCGGGTCTTCGATTTTTTCACTTTTCTCACTTATCTTATACCCATTTCCTACTATCTTACTCATAATTTCGAATGACCTGCAAATCTATGTCAAAAAGGGAATTTATTTGCCTTTTTAAAGCCATTTCAATATTTACATTTTAAGAGACCACTCGGCATCCTCGCAAGCCTAGATCTATGTTTATCGGTCGCTTGCAAGCCTAGCATTAAAAGAATATGGGCAAATTTGGTACAGATTTGCGTGTCTTTTATTCCTGAATACGAATCTACGCATCGCTTATGACTAAAACTCTGCTCAGCAGAATTAGAGCCAGGTTATCAATGTGACGTACATGTAACGTCATATAGGCAACCAGGAGCAGCAAATTTTGCCTACTTCCGTGACATACATGGTACGGCACAGTGCTAAAAATTACACACTTTCATGACATTCTGGCAACCAAGGGGTTAATGAATTTTGCTATCAGGCTTGATCTGAACCGGTTGGGATCTTAGATCTTTGAGCCTACTAGGCCATGCGTGAGAACTCCCTCAGGCCAACTACTAGATTTCAGAGGTGCTGATTTTCTAAATAAATATAGAAATCTGAATTTCTGAAATTTTCTGGATTTAGCAATACACTCAGGCTCATAAACTTATTTATATCTTTTGGCATGTCACATTGCACTTTGAATGAAAATAGTACCGATGCAACGATGTGTTAGACAATGAAAAAATACTTTGTCTTTGAGTCCTCATGCATATGTTTTCAAGGGGTCTGAAAAATTCAGAATTTTATCAAATGACTAGTTGGCAACTCTGAGATTTAAACCCTTGCATGTGTCCTTTCAGTTGCCAAATTGATAAAGGTAGTGCACCCTCAAATATATGGTAGGGTTTGTAGATGAAACTATCAGCCATTGAAGTCCTGTTGTTAGTTAGATATATCTGATTTGGACACCTAAAATGACAGTACATAAAAACACACCTTTTTTTTTTACTTCCGGGAAGTTCAGTAGTTGGCACCTTGTTTTATGAGATGCTGTTATTACCTGGGCTTGAGTAGGGAATGTGGGTACTGACGATACAATTAGACAGGAGGCTGATGTCCGTAAATGTCAACAAATGCTGAAGAAGGATTTATGTTTATTCTATTCCTTTGCATGTGTTACTTCTCAGGGTGCCCAGATCTTTGAAGCTGTGGGTCTCCATCAGGAGGTCATTGACATCTGCTTCACTGGCTCAGCTTCGCGCATCGGGGGTGTGAATTTTGCTGTACTCGGTCAGGAGGTGAGTGTGATTGTAAATATTTCGCACCGCTCTTAACACACTTTTGATCATTGAAGAGTTGGGCTGCTTCAACCCAAACTTTTTGTGATCGTCCAATTGACAAATTGTTATTATTATTATTATTGTTGTTATTATTATTACTAGCTGGGCCCCCTTTCGATAAAAGGAATGATTGGTGCATTAACATCAACTGAAAGTCATTGGCCTACTAACTATAGTTTTACACTCTACTGGAATGGAGCAATAAATCTTGAGAGATTCTAAAAATTAGAAGGTCTAGATCTGTACTCTCAAAACAAAATGCGCCTTGCGAAATATCAGTTCCGACAGCTGCGCAGATTTGTTTCGTTTCTTAGTGGAATAATCAGCAAGGCCAAAGAAGGAAGGGAGCTTTTTGTCAAATATATTTTTCTGAATTCTGGAAATTAGTAAATAAAAAATAGGGCTCCGTCATGGGGACCTATCTATCTTTTTGCAGGTACTTGCCAACTTTCAACTCTGTAGCTGGCACAGTTTTATGGGAAAAATGACTCATGTTTTTCCAAGTTGCCAAATATATAATAGATAGCTGGGTTTCCCGTTCGATGAAGGAACTCAAAAGAATCAATCGTCAAGTCATTGTGGGATCAGTGCATGCGCTCTTTGTGAACGGAAGCCTCACTTGTTTACAATGGCGTCTTAGAAGACAGACTTTCCCAATATTAGATCTAAACGATACTTATGAAAAACTGAAAATTAAACTACAGTGACTTCTGACTCCTCAGTAAAACTGTGCACTCTTTAAATGATTCTGAACCACCGTTAATTTTTTCAAATTGGAAAGTTTAGCGGTCGGAAGTTTTAGGCAGCGAAAGTAACTAACTTTCTCAAATATAATAAATAGAGATTATCATTACTATTATTATTATTATTATTATTATTATTATTATTATTACTACTTTTACTACTACTGCTACTACTATTATTATTATTACAAGACATCTCTCCCGCCTACAACCGGGTACCCTTTCCCACTTCAATAAAGTCAGGAAAAGTCATACAACATACCTCTGCCAAGGACACGATTTCGGCCCCATGGTGGCTGGGTTCAAATCCATGACCCTTTCCTTTAGTCACAAAGCACAAACGGCACTTCTGTTTTTGCTAACTACTTCCAATCAGTCTTGAATTCTGTGCTCCAAACACATCTAGGATTAAAACAAACTACGCACCAAATAAGCGCCAAATTTTGAAAACGTCAGCACAAGGAAGTAAAGATTTTGTGGGTATAAACGAACTCAACTTGTGGGGGACATGACTACACCAAATGTACCTAGAAAAAGTCAGTACAAAGAATTTTGGCCTGAAGTTCCATCGACCCTGCAAAGCACACATCCGAACAGAGTTGGATATCGAGATTCTAGATTTGGAAATAGTAGAGGCAGCTGTCACACACACACGGCGAAGCACGAAACGAAACGGGATTTGTCCCCAGTAAAATATGAAATGGCTGAAAGTAGAGTGAAAACATCAGAGAGCTTCGATTTACAGGAAAAACCATAAAAACTGAAAAATAAAAAGGTAGTTTCCGGACTTTGAAAATATGCCCACGTAACTCTTTGTGACAATTCGTAACTGAATCATATTTTTGTAGATTTTATGGGCACCTGTGTAAAAAATGTATACTGACCTCACAAACGGGCTTAGCTCCATTATAATAAGATTATTTTTATTATTATCATTATTATTATTACTATTATCAGAGTCAACTCAGACTGTGTGAGATATTGCATTCCAGCAGAAAGACAGAGGTATTCAATAAAATGTCTACCCCATTTGGGAACTGAACTCATCTCACAGAGCTGACAGTTGTTTTCAACTGAGTCTTTTAGATGCTGTAGTTTCACTTGGATGTTGTACAATGGCTCTTCAAATCTTGCTGCTTTTTGACTTGTTGGAATGGGGATTATTTTGTTCTGAAGTATTTGGTGACTGTTATGTTCAAAAATTGTGCCACAGTACCAACAAATGATTCTCTGAAGTTGTTGATTTTAAAGAAAAAGTACTGTAAAAATTTAACGAAGAAGCTCTGAATTCTTCGTCAGTGCGTATATTCTTTCATAACAAAGTTTGTACACTGTGAAAAGAAATTTGCTCCATTACGATTTCGCTATGTGCATGCTAGACTGTAGCTTTGTTGTTGCTTTTGACCACTGCAGGCTATCAACCGGCACTCGCTGGCCTATGAGAGGAGAGACTGTGACAACCAGCTGGTTGTCAACAAGGGAATGTATCATTGGCGTAAAGGAGGGGAACGCCACATGAATGATCCAACGACCATTGCAAACCTACAGGTAAATAGAAATGGACTACCAACAGGTCACTAAAATTACAGGCAGGTTACTGTGTCATAATAAACTTGCATGAAACTCCTACTTAAACTTTTAAAGAATTAAAGTATTACTATTGGGCCAATCTTTTACTTAATCATTTTCCCACTTTGTCCAGGGATAGGGTCACATCTTGTACCGGCATGATTGTATAAGTCAGATGTTGGTTTTGTATGCAAGCTCTGCTGTAACTGTCTAATAGGAATGAATTTAATGGTTTGGAAACAAGCACACTCACACATACACACACATGCACACACATTATACACCCCCCCCCCCCTTACACACACACAATTTAATATTTGTGACACTGCATTTATGTGTTCAGGTGCTAAATATTTCAGCGATCCTGAAACGATGAGTCTGTACAATTTGAGAATAAAGAGTAACGAAAATAGACAGTGAGTGGAGGTGGGTGGGGGGGAGTGGTAGTGTCTATGTGCAAAAAGTGTTGATCACTTTCGTTCTTGGACCAGGATAGAGTTCTCGTTATGAGATCACTGAAATTCATTCTCTTCTTTGTCGGTATTTACAGGATGCAGCTCGGAGCAACAGCAAGTCGGCCTATGACAAGTTCTCGGAGTCAGCTTGGGAGAGCTCCAAAAAATGTACCTTGCGTGGCCAGTTGGACTTCTCCTCTGCAGACAAGCCTCTGGACATCTCAGAGGTTGAGGAGGCCAAGAACATTGTCAAGAGGTTCTGCACAGGTAAAAAAAAAGAAGCACATCAAGAACTGAGAAGACAGTGGTGGTCAACAGATTTTTTTAAACAAAGAAAGAAGAATAGCATAAAAAAAGGAAATACCATTAAAACTGTCTAAGATGACCCATTGTCGAGGAGAAAAATAGCCATCTTAGACAGGAGACCGTCTGACACAGTATCATTATAATGTATGAAATGCACAAGGGATGAAATGGGAAGTGGCCGCTTGTACAGGTGATTGTCTTATACAGGTGGCCAGTGGAGCAGGTTTGACTGTATAAACAAACTCTGTTGTGTTGTTGCAATACAAACAGAATTTGGTCTGTAGTCTTGGTTTTCAACAGTGTAGAGCCTTGATGCCTCACTCCAGTGAGGCTTTCAGTGATGGAGTGGTTCGTGAACTCATGCTCACCAACAGTGTCTAGCCATTTTGGTCACATGGCTCTCACATGGGTCGTCTTTTGGGTGTAATCCTGAGAAAAAGATATGTTCTGCATATCTTAAAATAGCAGGATGCTTTACCACGGTGACCTGTAGTAGTGTGAATGTGATATTGTTTGTATTTTTGTAGTGTTGTGTACTGTCTAAAGATACAACTTTTGAATTATTTTGTGTATGCATTGTCAGTGCTATTGTAGCCCTTATTTTCCCAGGCGGATGTACACTGTATGTTTCTTTTCTAATTTCTTTTTTGTGAACTTGATCTTATGACTGTAGTGCAGTAAATTTACATTTGTTTGCACATCATGAACTGTCTGAAAATGTCCTTTTGTGGAAGAGCTTTGTGGTTTCAACTTACCTTATTAAAGTTACAAACTATACATTAATCTTTGTGTGCGTGTGTGTTTGAGTTGTCTAATGGTAGAGCTCTCAGAATCTCAACTGTAAGGTTGTGGGTTCAAATTCCATCAGGGGACTGATGTTGTGTCACAGGGAATGGCACATTTACTCAAATTTCTTAGCCATGTTCTTGGGTCTGCTTGGGAAATGATAGTTCTGAAGCACATAGAGGATGCTGTAGAGCATGGATATACACTTTATAAATGCAATTATTGTTAAAACAGTTATTATTATTATCATTATCTTTATATCTATATAAGTAAAGAATGAATCGAAAACATTTGTTTTTATTGTAATAAAACACTTGCAAAGTTGTTTGCCTGTTTTGCTTGTTGCGTCTTCCTATCACCTTCATTTAATCAAAGAATGACTCTAAAGAAATTAATCAAAGTAGACGGTGTTCCTGGTTTTGTTCTCCAGGTCAGACAAATTTTGCATTGATGTTTGTGTTTTTTAAATCCCTGTAGGAGCCATGAGCTTTGGCAGCATTTCAATCGAGGCTCACACCACACTTGCTATTGGCATGAACCGCATTGGCGCAAAGTCAAATACTGGAGAGGGTGGAGAAAATCCTGAGAGATATCTGAATGAAGACCCAGAGTTCAATGCCCGCTCCAAGATCAAGCAGGTGAGGAAGAGTTGTTGCTGTTGTTGTTGCTGTTGTTGTTGCTGTTGTTGTTGCTGTTGTTGTTGCTGTTATAGCTGTTGTTATTGGTGTTGTTGTTGCTGTTGTTGTTGTTGCTGTTGCTGTTGTTGTTGCTGTTATGGCTGTTGTTATTGTTGTTGTTGTTGTTATTATTGGTGTTGTTGTTGCTGTTGTTGTTGTCACTGTTGCTGTTGTTGTTGCTGTTATGGCTGTTGTTATTGGTGTTGTTGTTGTTGTTGTTGTTGTTGTTGTTGTTGTTGTTGTTGCTGTTATAGCTGTTGTTATTGGTGTTGTTGTTGTTGTTGTTGTTGGTGTTGTTGTTGTTGTTGTTGCTGTTATAGCTGTTGTTATTGGTGTTGTTGTTGCTGTTGTTGTTGTCGCTGTTGCTGTTGTTGTTGCTGTTATGGCTGTTGTTATTGGTGTTGTTGTTGTTGTTATTGGTGTTGTTGTTGTTGTTGTTGTTATTGGTGTTGTTGTTGTTGTTGTTGTTGCTGTTATAGCTGTTGTTATTGGTGTTGTTGTTGCTGTTGTTGTTGTCACTGTTGCTGTTGTTGTTGCTGTTATGGCTGTTGTTATTGTTGTTGTTGTTGTTATTGGTGTTGTTGTTGTTGTTGTTATTGGTGTTGTTGTTGTTGTTGTTGTTGTCACTGTTGCTTTTGTTGTTGCTGTTATAACTGTTGTTATTGGTGTTGTTGTTGTTATTGTTATTGTTGTTGTTGTTGCTGTTTGTTTTCTATTGGTGTTGTTGTTGTTGTTGTTGTTATTGGTGGTGTTGTTGTTGTTGTTGTTGTTGTCACTGTTGCTGTTGTTGTTGCTGTTATAACTGTTGTTATTGGTGTTGTTGTTGTTATTGTTATTGTTGTCGTTGTTGCTGTTTGTTTTCATTTTTGTAACCATGGTTGTTATTGTTGACGCCATTGCTTCTGCTGCTTTTGTCATTTTTATTGCAGCTGTTGTTGTTGTTGTTGCTGTTGCTGTTGTTGTTATTGTTGTTGCTGGTGTTGTCATTGTTGTTGGTTGCTGCTGTTGCCATTGTTGTTGCTGCTGTTACTTACGCAGCAAGGGGTTTCTAAAGATCCCGCAAAAGCAGGTTCAGATGAAAATGTCCAGAAATGTTGATGAAACAGCTTTTAGATGAAGGTTCTTGTTTTTTTTCCTTGAACATGACATGTTAACCTTTTCTAAGATGTTGTACATGGCGTGGTGATGACAACAAATAGTGTTTATTGAAGTTTTTGTTTGGTTATTTTGTTCTAATGTTATGTGTACCTTTAAAAAAAATTTCTAATAGGATGTATGAAATAGTTTTTTTCCGTACATGATGGATAACATTCTGTAGCCATAAGGCTTGTTTTAGAAATAAATTATTGAAATTTCATGCTTTTGTAACTCTTAAGACCGTATTCAGTGTATTTCATTGAACGACAGAATAGAGAACACTTAGAAGGGATTCTAATTTGGTGGCGTCTGTGGCCTAGTGGTTAGGCTACCGGACTCGTAATCGTGAGGTTGCGGGTTCGGGGGTTCGAGCCGCTCCACTTTACTCGAATTTTCCTCACTTCACCCAGGTGGGAATGGGTATCCAGCCGTAGACAGCAAAAGATCTTGTCAGTGTGTCTGTATTTTAGCGCCTGTAAATGGCTGCTTGCACTGCATGCTTCCTAGGAAGTTGAGGTTGTTTCAGAATGCTCTCAGGTCTGCTGGGGTAATAGTATAGATTGTGAAGTGCATAGAGCTTGCTGTTGAGCGGGGATTTGCGCTATACTAATGCTATCTATTATTATTAAATGGTATAGTGTGAAAGACACTTGCCTCTAAATCCAAGAGTCCTGGATTCAACTTCAGCTTGAAGGATCGCTCTCTCTCTCCCTCTGATACTGCTTGGTCCTATATAGATGTTAAAATATATGTACCTCTCTATAAATTACCAGGCTTTGTTGAAAAAAACATTAAAAAATTTTTAACACTTTTAGTACCATCTGCAACTATAGTCAACAGGCCATAGTATGCGCTCATTACTGCTGACAACTTTAGTCGCCGACGCAACCTGGCACACTAAACATAATTAACACTTTACAGTCACACATCCAGCAGTAGTACAAAATACCCCATCTGGTCACCCAGCCAGGAGAGTGACTGCAAAGGACTTCTCGGGCATTATTGCGCCTAGTGATCGCAAAGTGTTCAACAGCGAACAGAGCCACTGCCCTAAAGTAAATACCAAAGAAAGTCAATCTATGTGATAAATGAATGGTTGGTGAAACTCTGTGAATTTTTAAATCGTGTTTCTTTGGCTGCAAAGGTTTTTTTAATTTAAAAAAAAATTCTCCCATGGCTTCAGCGCTCTAAACTGGTGCGGTACTGAAGGGTTTGTCACTATATGAGCCTTCGGTACTGTAAGTGTTAAACTTTAGATAAGAATATTGAAAAAAAAAGGGGGAAAAAGTGGATGGTTGGCGGGTGCTCTGGTGTGGTTTGCTCCTTCTTTCCTATCAAACATCTATGGTCTCTATCTCCCATCCATCTATTTTGTGTGTGTTACTCTCTTAAAACACTTCTATTCTTCTGCACTTATATGACCTTATTGTGTTGCAAGTGCCGTAAAACTCTTACTGAAAAACCAACTATCTGTTCATTCACTCAGGTTGCCTCTGGACGATTTGGAGTGACCAGCTCGTACCTGACGCATGCTGATGAGCTGCAGATCAAGATGGCCCAGGGGGCCAAGCCAGGGGAGGGTGGAGAGCTGCCTGGGTACAAGGTGAGAGAAACAGAGCATTGCAACTCAACTTTATCGTACTTCTCAGTTGCTGTTGGTTATCGCTCCAGAATTATTCTCAGTAAAAGCTTCTCTATTTTACCGACTTATGTTTTCTTTTTAGATCCCTGATTTCATGATTTTTGCTTAGTAATAACATCCCACACCCCGAAATGCCTCTTCATCCAGATTAGAATCAAAGACACTAAACAGAAAGTGCTCGTATGCGTTGCAGCATGGTGAAATCAGGCACTTGTCAAAATAATGAACTATGACATTTTTCCACCCCTTGGGTAATTTTTATCATACTGTTTCTTCTTTGCTCAACTACTTTTATGTCTATCTAAAAACACATATGTCTGTGTTGATTACATTGAAAAATGTAGATGAAAGGCGCTAAAAATGTATCTTTACTTCTGCTCAATATAAATGGGTATTTTTTTCATGAAACACAAGGCAAATGAACTGGCTTTAAGACTACACATGCCCAAAAATTTATGAGGGCTTGATTCCACCACATCATGACACATATGTACGTTTGAGTTTGAGTACTGCACTAAGACAACATTCCTTTCTGGATTGCTCACCAACAGGTGGAAAACTTATTTTGTTCACAACATGGGTGGGGGGGGGGGGGGGGGGCGGCGGCGGGGGGTATACTTTGAGGTAGACTATATTGAGATACTTTGTCAGAAAAGAAAAAAATGTGAATGAAGGTTTTATTACTAAACCTTTTCTTGTTTTTGTTTGATCCGTTCACTCAAAGGTGACCAAAGACATCGCGAGAACCCGTCACTCCATTCCGGGGGTTGGTCTGATCAGTCCACCTCCTCATCATGACATCTACTCCATCGAGGATTTGGCACAGGTGAGGGAAGTGATTGCAAGGACAGACAGTAAGCTTTATTACAATTAGTACATGGCAAAAAAGAAGGAAAAAAAATTCGGTAGCTAAAACAATGATGATTACTCGTTTTACCATTGACCGTTTTTGTCCCTTAAGTCTGTTAGACTTTATTACAGTATGTACATGGGAAAAAGGAAGGGAAGAAAACTGAATAGTTAAAACAGTGATTGTGGCTCATTTTACCACTGACAGTTTTTATCCCCCAAAGTCTGCAAGACTTTTTTACAATTTGTACATGGCAAAAAAGGAGAGAAAAAATGAATGGTTAGAACAATGATGACACTTTACCACTGACAGTTTATATCCTGTAAATCTGCAAGACCACCGCACCTGAACTTCCTCAAGTTGACTTGTAAATTTTCATCAAAGGGTGCTGAAGTGCTTTCAGTGGGCAGAAGGGTACAAATTACTTGCATCCGGGTTAAGGCATAGCTCCTTAGGGTAAAGATATTCCTCCTCTTTCCAACCTAGACTGCATTCTGTGCTGCTCAAGGGAAAACTAGTCTCCAATCTCTTTCCATGTGCCATTAGGCTGAAATATTTGAACCCTGGGCTTCTGTTTTAGTGCCATCAGTGTACCAATCCTTGATATACAGTTGATATCCAGTGCCATCCCTGTTTCAATTTACAATCTATTCAATCTATCATCAATGTGATATTCAGCAATTTGTTTTCTGACTCCTCCCTCCCCCAATTCCTAAGGCAGGTGAAGTCTAGCAGTTACTTTTCATGTAATGGTTTTAGAAATCTGTGGATATTTTGAACATGTGAAAGACAAGTTGATGGCTAAAACTCTTAGAAAAGCTCGCCTGTTTGGGCCAGAAGCCCGAGCAGATTTCTCTATAAATCATTACCCAAAACTGAAACAGCTCATGTCCGTGTGAAAAATTAGGAGTACCCACAGAAGCTGCTTGAAGCTACTCATAAGTTAAAGACTTGACATTCTAGTAGGAAGTATAATGTATATTTTTTAAAAACAGGTGTTCAATAACTTGATGACCTTTGACTCCTCAGCTCATTTACGATTTGAAAGCTGCGAACCCCGCTGCCAGGATTAGCGTCAAGCTGGTGTCAGAGATTGGCGTGGGAGTCGTCGCTTCAGGAGTGGCGAAGGTGAGACTTGTTGTTGCAGCGTCTGCTATTTTTTAGCTCTCTTGGAGTGCTGTTTTTGTCAATGAAAATGATGGCGAGGCTTTCATGGGTAATACAAAAACATCAGATTGAGGTCAATGATAGGTTTATTTTTGTATCAGTTGAAGGCCTTATGAGAACCAATCAGATCATTTAAGAAAATTAGGTCCACTCAGGAAAGAGCGGGGTTAGTGGATTTTTTTGCAAGACCTTTTCCCACGTTGATAGATCAGGAATTTAAGAGTGCTGGATGAGAGACATAGTATGTTGAGAGAAAAGATACCAACCTCTAAAGACACTTGACTGGCAGCATATCACCCATGGGAGAGGAATTTCTTGTTTGGACAATGCTGTATTGATGCTGTAAACTGTTTCAGAAGAATGATGAAACACAATGAGCCTAGAGGTTCCTTTGTGTTTACTATACAGTCGGGACATTACAATCACAACATCTAGATCTAGACAGACTTTGAAAGCAGCAGGAGCCAGACACGACTGTAACGGTGGACGTACGCTTTATTACTGAAAATTCTCTTCTCTAAGTACGCGCCAGTCGTTACCAGTTGCCAGGTTTCCTAAAAATACTAAGGCAATAGAGATGGTTTGCATAATAGTAATGGACATTACATTTAACTTTGTTGTTTTACCAGCTACAATTTCTTTGCTTGGAAGGGCAAGGCAGAGCACAGAAGATAAGATGAGCTTAGCAGCTCTTCTGTGTTTACTTTCTGTATTTAACTTTTTTGTTACACCAGCTACGTTTTCTTTGCTTGGCAGGGCAAGGCTGAGCACATTGTCATCTCCGGTCACGACGGAGGAACTGGTGCCAGCAGCTGGACTGGCATTAAGAACGCTGGGTTGCCGTGGGAACTGGGCATTTCAGAGACTCACCAGACCCTGACCTTGAACAACTTGAGGTCACGCGTCGTCCTTCAGGCTGATGGACAGATCAGATCAGGTAAAGACGTCACCACTCTGCCACGAGTGGCATTTGCTAGAAGATTCTTGTGGGACTGTTCAGATCTTCGAGTTGCTTGTGAGGCATTTTTTTTAATAACGGAGAGATGTATCACTATTTGCTGATATAGTTGTTCAGAATTATGTATTTATAGTGTTCACAGTTTGTTGAACCCCAGTTTGTAGTTTAAGTGATTGCTAGAAAAAGGCTTTAATAGAATATATGAGGAGCTGACTGAAGAGGTTTGAAAATATTTCATGTGTTTAATGTAGTTTTAAGAAACAGGATATTTTTTATTGTTTATGACATTCTTGTAAACCTTTCATGTTTTTATAATGTTTCCGTTTATCAGTAAAACTTATTGAACCTATTTTGTTATAACACATTTCATGTATGAAATGATCAGTTTATTATTTTTACTCTGCTAGTGTTTAAAACAGTAATTTAATGAAGCTTATCCTGTGATGAACTGACTTTCTGAATTAACAGCATGATTCAGTACTGCACTCATTCGTGTCCCATGTTGCTTTTCACATTCAGACTATGAAATGTGGGTGGTTGGCGGATGCTCTTGTGTGGTTGGTTCCTTCTTTCCCATCCAACATCTATCATCTTTATCTTTTCTCTATCTATTTTGTGCTTGTTACTATCTTGTTATGCCTCTTATGTTCAGCTCTTATATGACATAGTTGTGTTGCAAATGCTGTAAAATGCTAACTAAAACAAAAAGAAGCTGACTATGAAACATGTTATCAAGACCTCAGACATCAGGCAAAGTCAAAGAAGTTTTTTTGGCTCTATCTAAATCAACCCCTGCCTAAGAGTCAAAGAGACTGGTTCAGTATAGATAAATAAGAGAGCTTTCGAAAATAGCGTAATATGTCTGCTTGAAAAGAAAAGGGCACTTCGTTCTAGCACAAAAATAGCCAACACACATATTCAAATGTTGCTTTGTGGGTTAATAAAGCTCCATATACCCGTAAGTTCCAACGAGTCAGCACGTAAAAAAATTAAAACAAAGCAAAGAAGATGGGGATTCATTAAGTTTTCCCCTCCATAGATGTAGCTAATTGGTAGCTATGTTACATGCAGTAATTGAGACTCTTACTTTTATCCTGGGCTAGCCTCTTGATGTTATTCTATGTTTTCCCACTTTTCTGTACTATAATTCTGTGATTCTTCTCCAGGTTCCCCACAGTCTTCCCGTTGATCTTTTACCCTATGGATTCCAATCCAATACTTTCTTTGTTATGCAGCTGCCTGACTTCCTGAGAAAATGTCCAATCCATCACTACCACCTTCTTCGTACCTCATCTCTGACTGGGATCTGTACTCAGTGTAGTGTATTTTAGACGTGGAGTTTTGAGGAGAAAACAAGAGAGGAGGGATGCATGCATACTAAGATTATATGCTGTTCTCTTTTTTCATTCTGTTTTTTAATTCATCATTAGTAATTTTGGTCAGACAATTTATGGCAACAAAGGTCGCTGTTACAGGAAAATGTTGCTGTTAAATGGGGCAATTTCTTTTGGAAAATTCTGTGACCAAAACTAAAGTTGCTTTTAAGCGGACTTTGTTCTTATCAGGGTTGCCGTTAAGTGAACACCACTGTATTCTCTCCTCTTCCTGCTTCAGGCCGCGATGTTGTGGTGGCTGCTCTGTTGGGGGCTGATGAGTTTGGCTTCAGCACAGCACCACTTATTGTCCTGGGCTGCACCATGATGAGGAAGTGCCATCTGAACACGTGCCCAGTGGGCGTGGCTACCCAGGTGAGTGACAGACAAAATATTCTATTTTTGTACATTGAAGATTTTTCTCTTGATTTTAAAGTCATGATAATCTGTTGTTGTTTTTTTTACAATCAAGGATTTGTTCTAGATTACTAGTTATGACCTCTTTGAACTCTTCTGTAAAACTAAAAACTGCGTATACTGTTTATTAATGATGGCAGGCAGCAGTGCCATGCAGACATTTCATTTCAATTCTTTTACTTGTCATTGCAAAACAAATCTTTCCTCAGGAATCAGTGGAGTTGTCCTCTGTTTCTATTTCTATTTCTGTTTCTGTTTTTGCACACAAAATTATCCATGTATTTCAATTTTTCTACAGGACCCTGAGCTCCGGGAGAAGTTTGCCGGTAAACCTGAGTATGTTGTGAACTTCTTGTTCCTTCTGGCAGAAGAGGTGGGTACTTGGAATAAGACTGTTTTGGATTAAGTTATGTCTTCGAGCAAGACTATTTGATTGCTTGATATGCACAGCTTAAGAAATAGTAACACAGCTTTTTTATGGGGCAAGTATAAAAAAGTCAGACCACGTTTTTTAGATTGATTTACTAAACATAAATGATAAGTCGTATTTTGTTTTATTGTGTCCATATTTGCCCTCTTTATATATATATATGTGATGACATGGTGGAATCAGGCACTCGTCAATATTTGGGCTTATGGAGTTATTAGTATCATCTTAAAGTCTGTTCATTGTCTTGCTTTTAATGAAAAAAAAGAAGGCCTACCCATCAGTCTTGAACAGAAGTCATGATGTTCTGTGATTAAGGGTGGTAGGGGTCTGGAGTCAGAGATAAAATACGAGAGAAAATGGCTGCTTAAATTTTATGATTTCCCATATGTACATGTCATTGGAACTTACATTGGAATTTATATTTTTGTCTTATATGAATTTACATGTTTTGTGCCCTTGATCAACGTTTTTCAATAAAATCCGCACAGCCATGTTTTTAAATAGATATTAAAGATGTTGAGCCTAGGGGGAAAAAATGAGATAAAAATTGCCTAAGGGGGGGAAAAAATGCCAGTTTTTACAGATGCACTATTGTGAAAAAAACCCTAATTTTACTACAATGCCTCGCATACATATTTATATGTTGTTTACCTTGGAAGCTTTGGAAAGTGATGGATCAGGGAGAAGTGTTTGAAACTTTATGGCTTGGACTGACCATTCAAATTCTGGTTGTGGTCTGCTAACCATTTGAGAATTCCCACTTTTGTTTTACTATCAGCTTTCAGGGCATTACCTGAAAGACCCACATGCTAAATATTTTATGCACTGAATCATGGTATCTTGAGTACTCTCATGATAGCTTCAGGGCTGTTCTATGTAAAATAGTTGTCATTGTTCTAAATAATTTCCAACCAGGTTCGATCCATCATGGCCGAGATGGGATTCCGCACTTTCCAGGAGATGATTGGTCGCGTGGACAAACTGAAGTTCTCTCCAGATCCCACAAACTTCAAGGCTCAAATGTTGGACTTCAGTAACATCACAAAGAACGCCCTCGACCTCCGACCCGGTACCAGCATCCGAGGAGGCACTGTTGCCCAGAACTTTGAGTTTGAGAAGAGGCTGGTATGTCTTCATGAAAAATATTCATCTTTTCGCCACACTCATCTTTTGAAAACTGGTGTATACCGAATCAAAGAAAGAAGACAATGGAAATTTTGAGGAGGTTTTTTTGTTGTTGGAAAGGCTTACACTTTTTCATGTTTCTTGTGACTGAAAAGATGTGGGTTACACATACCTTTCTTCCTTTTGACATGTGGCATTGTGTGCAATGCAAGTATGACCTCAAACTTAGATACAGATGGTATTTTCAAAGAATATGAGCCCTGAAATTGGGGGTACTGAGTATCTTGGAGAAGAGGGGGGGGGGGTTAGGGGGATGGTAAGTTATATCACCAAATATCAAAATACAAGTTTACCCTAACCCAGGATTAATTGGTCCTGGTCCTTTAAGCACAGAATAAATGTCGAATGAATTGTGATCTATGGAAATTAAATTGTTCACAGTGTTTTTGAAGACTAAGTTGAGACCCAAGAGGGGAGCGACTTTGAAGTTCTGATCGCAAAATAGGCCATAATGTATTATATGAAAAAGTCAGTGAGTTGAAAAACATCTCATCAAGCACCCATGCGATAAGATGGCAGAAAATGAAGTAGGTTAGAAAATGTAGTAAGTAATAGTGATATAAATTAACTTTTTAAATCAATAATGCAACTTGCTTTTTATCACATATTGTCTCTTTCTATTATTACATACTCATTTCCTGGAAGGACTGAGAAAAATAGCGTAAAGTAATAATAATAATAGTAATGATGATGATGATAAAAATGATAATAATGATGATGATGATGATGATGATGATAATAATAATGGGAATTTATATATAGCAGCTAATCCTTAGAAAGCTCTTAGTGCTATACAATGCATAATTATCACTCAATTCAACTAACAAATGTGATCAAAAGACAGAAAATGCACATTTAACCGCACACAAACACACAATGTACAGTCAGAGGACAGTGTTGCACAAATGTGTCTTTAGACAATTGTGAAACTCTCTCTCTCTCTGATGATATAACACACATTTCTTTTGGGTGTGAATTCCAAATTTTAGAGGCGTAAGAAGAAATAAAAAGCCTTTACTCAATATTCAGTACTTTTGTGCTCAACAGCTTCTAAATTTTGCTCTCTTTGTGGTTTTTTTCTTTTAACATAGGACAACAAGATGATTGCACAGGCCATGGATGTTCTGGAGGGACGTAGTAAGCATGTCCTCATCGAGACAAAAATCTGCAACGAGGACAGGGCTTTCGGTGCTACTCTCAGCAATGAAATTTCAAAGTAAGTTTCAGTGCCCACTGGCTGCCAGTAATGAGAATAATAGAGTGAATGCTTTATTTCTACATAATGCACACATGCGTATTTGGATGGTGTTATGCTTAGTGTAACTAGTTCATGAACATTTTTCAATAGGGCTATTCCAGGCAAAGTGATTCTGCAGCGACACACTTAACTTTTTATCTTCAGCAAGCCGCTCGGGCAGCTCGTTTTCAGAACCACTGTGCTGGTGAGCTGCTTGGCAGCGGCTCAGGCACGTTCCTCAACGACGACTTCATCGTGATATTACTCTCTGGCAATTGCAGAAAACAGGTCTCTTTTACAGATGAAGAGCTATCTAAATAGGTAGACTTGTTTTGATTTATTGACCAGTTTAGTAACGTATCTGTCACCTTTAGATTTTGTACCCAAAGAGGGCCCTAGCATAATGGGTCTACCCTCCCCCTTGGAGATAGAGAGTTAATGCGTGGATGATAACCTGCTGAAGAAAAAAAAACATTCTAAAGCTGTGATACCTATGTAAGATGCAAAAAAAGACAAAGGATCTCAACTACCTATCAAGGAGTGTTGGCCTACGTATACGCCAGGGCAAGTCAAAAATAGTGAAGCTAGTAAACGGGTCAAGCCCCGCTGTGACAGTGGAAAACACTCCCCTGGAAGAAGTGGACTCCTTTACCTACCTGGGAAGTGTCATTGATGGTAAAGGTGGAACTGAGGCAGATGTGAAAGCAATTATCGCCACGGCAAGGTCAACATTCAAGCAATTATCAAAATCTGGAAAGTAAGCAACATCTCACTGCGCACCAAGATTCCACTCTTTAATTCTAATGTCAAATCTGTGCTCCTTTATGGCTGTGAAACTTTAAAGACAATAAAGACAGTGCTGAATAGAGTATCCTATGAATTAAGTGGCAGGATAGAATAAGAAATGAAGAGCTGTTGTAAAGGACAGGACAAAAGGATATACGAGTAGAAATAAGACCAAGAAAGTGGCGATGGATGAGACAAACCTTCCGAAAACCCAGCGGAAACATCACAAGACAGTCACTGCAGTGGAACCCACAGCAAGCACGAGGCAGGGGGAGGCCACGGGAAACATGGACGAGATGTGTGGAAAGGGACATGAGAGAGATGAAGCTCACTTGGAACGAGCTAGGAAGGTGGCCCAGGACAGAGATAAATGGAAGAACTTTTATGTGTCCTAAACCCTGTTAGGGGTGAAAGGCATTGATGATGATGATGATGATGATGATGATGATGATGATGATGATGATGATGATGATGATGATGATGATGATACCTATGTAAGGGGTGAAGCAGTTTCCCTTCCAAAATGATCTAAACTGTCTTGATTTATGACTGGAATCTTTGCCCTCAGACGCACTGTTGAAGATGGTCTCCCGGAGAAGTCCATTGAGATCCGACTTACCGGCTCCGGTGGCCAGAGTTTCTGTGCGTTCCTAGCCCGCGGAGTGGACGTCTTTCTGGAGGGAGATGCCAATGACTATGTCTGCAAGGTAGGTCATGATACCGTAGAGTTGGCCCACAGAGCTGAAGCATGCTGGCCGGAGGTTACTCAGAGCTGAACATTTTCCTCTATCCTGAGAGCCCAGAGTTCATTCCATAAGCTCACTCAGCAGTAATTCATTATGTGCCGCAAGAAGGACATCAGACTCTGACACTCGTAGCTTTTGCATTGTGACATCATATCGAAATTCAAAAAGGGAGGGAAGTGGAAGAGAGGGTTGTTGGGGAGTCCCATTTAAGATACACAGTCTGTAATACTTGTTGTGGACATGAGTTTCCTACTTTAGTTCAACATTAACACAGTGGCATTGGGTTTCATTCTCAAAGGAACGTTCTTCTTGCAGTATCGGGTTTCTCCAAGAATAACGCTTGATTTTTTAACAGGGACTGTCTGGTGGTGAGGTTGTGATAATTCCACCCAAGTCCATGCCAGAGAGCTTCAAGTCAGAGGACAATATCATCGTTGGCAACGTCTGTCTGTATGGAGCTACGGCTGGCAAAGCTTTCTTCCGAGGTCAGACAGCGGAGAGGTTCTGTGTCAGGAATTCAGGAGCTACAGCCATAGCAGAGGTACGTGTGCATGAGTGTGTATGTATGAAGAGGAAAAGAGGAACATCTTTTTATATATGTATGTATATATATATAAAAGTTATGGCAATAAATTCAGGTATTTTAATGGAAATATGTAAAACACCTTTCACCACATTGGGGTTAAACTCTTGGCATGTAGACTTTAACCCTTTGAGTCCTAACCTCCTGAGGCTACTGTGCCCCTCTACCTGAGCTCCTGAACGAAATATTACTAATATTCATGTGATTTGTCAGAATCACTTTTCATATCCCACCTTGTCATTACCAGCGTCTAATTCAGAAAGATCTTCAAAATAATCAATAACCTCTTGTGTAGTAATTACTGTTTTCTGTATACTTTTTATCTCATACGGGCCAGTTAGGGGATGGGGTCTTGCTCACTGGTGTACCAGTGGCTGGGCATACAGGCAGTTTTACGCACCACCAGTGAACTGGTGGTAAGGGCTCTAAGAGTTAAAGGGGTCATTGTATGTTATGGTCCAGTAAACCCTGAAGTTTAAGAACACAACGCACAAGACTGAGACAACATACATACGGATGTTTTAAACTAGTACAATCACCAATATGCCAGTGTTGAACACATCCTTCAACACTGCAAGACACACAGGGCCCTGAGACAGGAAACGTGGCCAACACCCCACTGACATTACAAGAGAAGCTATACGGGCCGACAGATGAATTGAACAGGACTCCCCAATTTATGACAGATACCAGACTTCAAGTGTGATGCGATCGAGAAGAAAAAGAAGACACTGAAGTTGACCCTAGCATGATGTTGTGTTTTTCTTCAGGGTTGTGGTGACCATGGCTGTGAGTACATGACCGGTGGAAGGGTCATTGTACTGGGACTGACCGGCAGGAACTTTGCTGCTGGCATGTCTGGTGGCATTGCCTACTGCTATGACAAGTGAGTCAGTTGCACAACAACAAATTGTACAAGAAAGAATGTTCTTTGTTAAAATTAACAGAATCGCATAATTTCACATTTTTAGGCTCAGTTTGCATAATTTCATAATTTTTCTTGCAGAAAACGACGGGGACAGTAGAGCTAGTGGTCTTTCTCTTTCATCCTTCTTGATCTCAATTCCAACAGTCGTGGAAGTTGGGGTTAAGTCCTATTTTTTGTCATCTTCGAAAATGTGTGGTGTGTTTCGTTCACAAGGCTCACAGTTTTTGTATCTACTGTTTGAATTCACAAAGAGTCCTTGTCTATGTTTGCAAACTATCCTTCTGTTTCACATCATTTTCAAAGTAAAGGGTCTGTTTTGAGTCTGTTTGTGTGACCCAAAAAAAAGAAAAAAAGAGTGGAATCGATACATTTTCCATAACAGGCTGGGGACTCTGAGGTAGACCAGAATTAATAGGAGCTGGGACTCAAAATATTTTGAACTGTTTATGAAGGAAAGAGTAAAATTTCATGTGAGGCATGCAGACAAGATGAGTGACTTCTCGCAATCTTTGAATGGAGAAATAGGCCAAGAATGGACCCTGGGGTCAAATTTATATTTTTTCAATTGATGCCATTTTTTCAAGTCTAACATGTCTTTTATTATTTCATGACAGTGAAAGATCTTGTCAGTTTGTTAATGTTTGAACGCTATATGAGCTGCTTGCACTGTATGCTTCCCGGGAAGCTGAGAATGTTTCTGAGTGTTCTATAGTTTGGACTTTTCTTTTTCCATAGGGCTAAAATTTGAGAAGTAACTCACTCTGTCAGCATGCCGCACATATTTATTTTGTCCTGCAGAAGCTACGACAGCAGTGTGACTGACTTGTTGATGTGTTTTGTTTTCTGATCAGAAAAAGTCATCATAATTATAATCAGTGATTGTAAAAGCAAAAGTGGTGACTTTCATCTATTTATTTGTCAGGGTCATTGAAAGTGAAGCTGAATAGATGCATCAAGTCAATGATGATGATGATCATGACATAATATTTCTTAACTTTTCCTCAACATTTTCCTCTTAGAGCTGTACTTTTGTTCATATGCATTGATTGTATTTTTATTAATTCAGTTTAACACTTAACACTATATGTAGAAATATATTACAGTTTATGAAGCCAGTTTTTAAAGACAAGTGTGCCAAAAACAATTATCTGATCTGGAAAAAGTATCAGAATGAATGTGTACATACTTTGTGAGGCACTATGGTGAAATCAGGTGCTCGTCAACTTAAGAAAATCGAAAAAATCAACCTTTTTCAGCCCTTTTGGCAATTTTTATCATTTGTTCTTGTTTTGGGCTCAGCACCCTATATATCCACTTCAAAACACATTCCTACATGGATTTTACAGTAAACCCATAAATCAAAGACACAAAAAATGTATATTTGTAGTTTGCAAGGACACTACAGCTTGGGAAGTCACCTAACTTTGGCAGCCATTTTCTCACTACTTTTATCTCTGACACCAGGCAACTCCCACCTCCTTCAATCACAAATACCTCAACTTTTATTCAAGATAGATGGATATTATCCTTTTCATCAAAAGCAAAGCAAATGAACAGGCTTTAAGATGATACCAATAACTCCATAAGCCCAAAAATTGACGAACGCCTGATTCCACCGCTTTGTGACACACTTGTTCTGATCTCTATTCAGACGGAAAATGTTTGACGATCGCTGCAACAAGGAGTCGGTGGAGCTGCTGCCTCTCAACAACGAGACTGACCTGGACTTCGTGCACGGCCTGCTGATGGAGTTTGTGGAGAAGACTGGATCCACTCTGGCCCGGGGCATCCTCGATAATTGGAACACAGAACAGGGCCACTTTATCAAGGTCAGAAGCGGGTGACTCGATGAGTGTCGTAAACTGTTTGGTTTTTTGGTTTTTGTTGTTGTTTTTTTAAATCTGTAATTTGTTTATTCGCCGGTGCCCAATTAGTAAGCAACCTAATGGATGGAAAAAATGAAAAATATAAAGTGTCTTTCTCTGGCATCTGTGGTTTAGTGCTTAGGCACTTTGTTGTCACATGCAGGAGACCCAAGTTTGAATCCGGAGTGGAGAGAATTTTTATGGAGTGTCTCGGTGTTATATCCCTCTCTGCCTAGATTGGTCCTGACAGGCGGGGTTGAAGCCCTCTTCCTAAATGATCTAAAGTGTATCGATGGGGGTGCAAAATCACAGGCATACATTAAAAACAATTTTTAGATAAAAAGTCTAAAGTGTCTATATGATTTGCACGTAGTTTTACTAAGCTTTTCCTGAGTTTGAACCCACTACCTGTAATATGCATGTCCACTAGTGAAACCATTAGGCCTAAGACTGTCCTCTTTAAATTACAAACTTTATTGTACCATTGTGCAGTTCGCTAAACTGTAAATAGATTCCAGTTCATCGCGTGTATAGGACTTTTTGACTTGAAAAGCTCTATTCATTTTCTCTTAATTTGCACCCCATAGTGGGTGGGTTGGGGGGGGGGGAGTGGCCCCTGTCAGCAAGAGGCCATGCATGACACACCAGGGCAAACGGCCAGCTAAAACTTTTAACGGGCAATCTGTTCTGTTTCTGAGAAGACTTTCTGTGAAGCCGGTCAGCTCTGAAAAGTGGGCTGTAATCTGCCAGCATCAGAGTCAGCTAGAATATCAGTTTGTAATGGATTGAGCTCATAGCTCCCCCCCCCCCCCCCCACCTCCCCTCCCGGCTTGTATTTTTACCAAATTTGCATGCCATCATCATAGATGGTTGTGACTGCAATATTTAATATACGCAATTAGTAACTGCAATTAGTCTTCCTCACTTACCCAAACTCTGAATTCTTTTTTAAAAATTGTTTTTAATTTTGAATTCAGGTGTACCCGCATGAGTACCAGCGCGCCATTGCTGAAGCTGAAAAAGAAGAAGAGGAAAAGAGGGCTGCCCTGAAAAACGAGCAAGAAAAAAATGTTGCCAGTGAAAATGGGGTGGTGAATGGGGATTCCAACCAGCTCTCAGTTGCTTCTGATCTCCACAAGCTCAGCTCTTTGTCCAATATGTATGGAGAGGACATGATCAACAAACTGGAAGATGAAGAGGTGAGTAGAGGACTTGTTGGCCCTGCCTCACTATGTGTTTTCGTTGTGTTGTATTTCACTACCATAAGCTGACAAAACGCCTGTTTTTTTTCTATTCACGGCAGTTTCGAGATAAAGAGGCTTTTTGTCAGTGTAGCCATATAAAAATAGTTTTCTTCCGAAATTTGCATTGTATTTTATTCAAAAACTAGTCACAGTTTCGCTTTGATTTTTTTCCCACAAGTAGGGTAACTGATCAGGCTTTCAGTTTAGCAAATAAAGTAATTGGGCACCAAAATGAAAAAAAAAAGGCATTTTGTCAGCTTATGGAAGTACAGAGGAGACTAGGCCGTGGGCTGTCCCAGCAGAGGACGGTGTTTTCACTGTGCGTTGTGATCTACATTTTATATTCAGAGATAATGACCCTTGTGGCTGTCTTGGTTGATGGATTCCAGAACATAGTGAGTTGTTTTGAATGTTTTTGGAAAAGTTATGTATGTTCTTTTCTGTGTTGTGTCATATCTTGTCTTTAGGTGTTGTATGTATACATCTCCGCTACTGTGCCTCTCTTTTTTATCCTGAGACTGATTTTGACTGCTGTTTTCCTTTTGGTCCAATTTCTTACTCCTTCCATCTGTTCCCTAGTTCAGTTCTGATAAGGTCATGGGTGTCAAGTGATGTGTACGTTGTTCTTGTTCTTTTCTCCAAACATGCTTAATGTGAGTGTTTGGAGGACACCATTGGTAGGTTCTTCTTCTATTGTTTCTGTTAACCTGTCTTGCTTTTCCCACCTCTGAATGACCTTTATGGTGTCGGTATCCATCTTTTAAACTCAAACTCAACCACATGTGCTACGTCATTCTCAACTTTGTCCCTTCCAACTAGCGAGCTACCAATGGTCAGAGTCTCAGTGACCAGCAGCAGGTACAGTAATTCAGACTGCGTGCAATGCATGTACCCCCATGTTAACTCGGTGTTATCGGACTGCTTTTTATCTACAATATGCCTCATCGTGTATGCACATTTAATGTGTGTGTGTGTGTGTGTGTGTGTGTGTGTGTGTGTGAGAGAGGGGAGGGAGGGTGTGTGCGGTGTAGCCACTTAATCAGCTAGTCAAATCTTCGTGATCATGTCACATCTGAAAAATCAGTGTACGTTTATCATATGGAATTGAGCAAGAGTAAATTTGACCGCTGCTTCACTTCAACATGATGTCAACTCTTGAGAAGGTTGTCCAGAATAATCATAAGTGCAAGTAAACAATAGCCTTGGTCTAACATTATTTTTTTACTCTATATCATCAAACTCACCCTCCTAGCATGTTTTTTGAGATAGTAATGGGGAGGGGAGCACAAGAAACAAACTGCATTCTGGGATTTGATCGGTAGGCACCGCCTGTTATTGCTCATCGGGAAAAAAAATCCTTTCTGATGACACATTTAAGAGGAGAGTGTCACTTTCTGACAGCACATTGAAGTGGAGAGTGTCACTTTCTGACAGCACATTGAAGTGGAGAGTGTCACTTTCTGACAGCACATTGAAGTGGAGAGTGTCACTTTCTGAGAGTTTAAGTGGAGAGTGTCACTTTCTGACAGCACATTGAAGTGGAGAGTGTCACTTTCTGATAGCACATTGAAGTGGAGAGTGTCACTTTCTGAGAGTTTAAGTGGAGAGTGTCACTTTCTGACAGCACATTGAAGTGGAGAGTGTCACTTTCTGACAGCACATTTAAGTGGAGAGTGTCACTTTCTGAGAGCACTGCCCTTTTCGAAACTGTTTGCCGTTGGGAGTTTATATTTTTTAATGCTGGGGTAAAAAGCATTGTTTTTGGAAAGCTTTTTCAAAACACCTACATTGTGTTCAAAGTGAACAATTCATATAGCAAAAACAAAAACGGCATCAGCAAGGGAAGATATAATGAAATTGCTCTTCTGTGCAACTTCATCAAGACCTAACTTTGTAGAACACAGGCAAAAAGCTGGCCCAGTGTGTAATCTCAGTTGAAGAGGAAGTCACACATGCTGAATGTACGTGCCTTTACACGACCGCAGATTCTCAACACGCAGATAACTGTTTCAGTTTTTAGTCCTAATTTTAGTTCAATTTTTTCAGACGAAGCCCTCAGGGGTCTTGTAATTCATTCAAAAGCAAATTATATTTATTTATTTCTTAATTCCATTTCTTCTGTGTCTTTGAAAATCTGGATGCATTTAATTCACATAATGGTGGCAGATTGGCAGACTGGTTGCACCAAGGGCATGTGGTTACACACAGGGCGAAAAGTCAAAGAGTGTTTCCCCTCTAAAATCTTTATCTGTTTGCCATTTTTGATACAGGCACTGTCAGGCTCACTTTTTAACCATATTATTATGAACGGACGGCTACGGAAGAAAATTCCCTTTGGCTGCACTAGGTCACTTTACCAAACCTAATTTTGTATATTTTTTTTCTCTTGAAAATAAATGCGTGTAAATAATTTTCCTTTGGTAAAGGACACCTCATAACAGGTACGAAATAAATTGTCAGAGCAATAGCTACCGCTGACAACATCATAAACATTACATTTTTTGCGTGTGTGCATTCACATTAAATATATGATTTATGCTTATATGTATCTTTTTTATTGTTGGTGAGTGTGTTTTGAGATTATGTTACAGTTTCATCTTTTCTTCTGGTATACAACTTTGCTTTTGTCTTTAAGGGCAGCGGCTAGACTGGAGAATTGGGTTTATTTTAGAGATGGTGCTCAGGAAGTTAATACAGTCTTGGGAGGGGGGGGGGAGGGTTGTAAATGTAGAGAGAGATTCAACTTCTTTTTCTTGTTTAAAAGGTTTCACATAGTTCTCATAACTTAAAATTTTCATCCAACTTCATGGTTTGTAAAGCGGTCAAGTTCTGGATCCTTTGGCGCTCATATGACCTTATGCAGTTGCGAGTGCCGTAAAGCCTCTTCTAAAAGCTACTAAACAAGTTCTGGAATTGAGTATAGGAAGTAGAATAAATACTTCTAAAAAGGTGTCAGTAAATAGCTTTATAAAAGACAGCTGAAGCTTAGACCTAGATTAGATGAAAATCTCAGAAGTGCACTTGATGTACCAGTACTGTTCCATCTGTGCCAAGAAATGGCTACTTGATGTTTCTTTGCTTATCCCCCATCATCATCTCGGTCTGATGACATCATGGCATTTTGTTGTAAAACCTGAGTTTGCCCTGGCGTTAATTTGCGAAGATTTTGTTAAATTGATGTGGCTTTGACCTCGTTTGCCGTGTTTGTGGAGGAGGCTTTAAAAGTCATTCCAATTATAATTTTTTTTCATAATTGAGTGCATGGCTTATGTATTAGACTTAGGATTTATCAGCTGATTGTTTTAAATCCAAGAGCTTTTTTAAGGTATATTGTTGTATGCTGAGTATTGCATTTAATATTTGAAATGATGTGTGCCTTGCAGTCTTGCAGAGAAACATTTAATGGGAACTGAACACGTAGTTATGCTGGGCAGTGGGGATGCGCGCTGAGCATACTTTTTAAAAAATGATCTTTAAAAAAAACCCACGTTTTCTTTTTGAATTTCTTAATCTTTTTTTTCTTTTGATGAGCTCCATGACTGCATCATATGGTTACCCACTGTTACTGCTTCCGCCTCTGGGGGCTAATTTTGTGAAAGAAAAAGTTATATTATAAGATTTGTTGCCCATTATATTTATGTGTTGCTGAAGTATGTGTTTTGTCCCACTGTTTTTTACTCCAGTGAGGGTTTTTTTCCCTATAAAATATAGAATATAGAACTTCGAGTCCTTTGAATTCTTGGCCGCCACATGCCTTTTTTCGAACTTTCAGTTTTTCAACTGTTACCCATTTTTGGTAAGGATAAAATTTGTTAATAGGTGTGCTCTCCTTTCTTTACTTTCTGCTGTCAAAATGTGTTCAACATATACCACATGCTCCTAGGACTTCTGAGTGGGGACTGAAGTCATTCATTCTCTGAGAAGATCAGGAGCAGAATCTCACCTACCCAAGGTGCAAGAGGAAACAGCAGAGAGAGATATCTCTACACATCTGGTGGTCTTGCTTGTTTTTGATTTACTTTGACATGAGATATAGACTTTCTTCCTCTTTCTAGCAAGCCCTTTCTTTAAATACACTCTCAGCAAATCTGGTCTCAGAGTGTGTATTCTGAGAGAATGAAAATATCTTGATTTCTGATGTTCTCAGTGGGAAATATTAGTTGGCAATCAATATCCTCTCTAGGCAAAAAAAAGTTCCTTGTCTTGAGCAGTCCCATTGTGTAAAACAGCAAACTGAATTTCAATTTCATGATACAGTAAATTGTGTTTTTAATTTGTGTTTGGGTTTTTTTCCCCAAATTGTACTTTATGGTAGACTATTTTTTTATGTCAAGAGCTCAAATGATTAATTAAAATCTCAGCTAAAGTAGAAAATCCTACCTTCCCGATACCCTCACAAAAATATACTCTGGTGTGATATGTGCTGCAAACCAGCAGTGTGAAAGAGAACATATTAATAATTATGCTGAAGTATATGAAGTATATGTTGGCCATTGTTATATAAATAATAAAGGCTATCTGAAAAGTTTGGTGAAATGGCCGCTGAGAGCGAGTGAGTGAACAATTCTATTTGAATCTGAATGAAACTTGCGGATTATTTAGTATTACCATTCAGCTATCATACTTCCCAACATAGTTTCAATGAAAATCAATGTGGTTCATCCTCAAACATTCTTCTTGAAAAGACTCTGGTCAAGAGAATGCAGCCAATCTCAGATGTCTGTACTAAGACCTTTCTTTGAACCTCTTTCCTGCTTAATATTGCTTCAGGGGTTGGAAAAGGTCTTGTTTTAACCACTGTCAGATGAAAGTGAACAAGCTATAAAACAGAGGTTTCATCTGCCTGTCTTGACGAATAAGTGTTTAACTTCAACTTCTTGATTGTCAGCTTCTGACATTGAAATTGTCGGGCACCCTGCACATGAAGATTTTTGTGGGATTTTTTTTTGGTTTTTGCTTGTAAGAATCGTATTATGCCACACACTTTTTCCTTCGACCATTTTTCTGTAAGGGCTACATGAGTGTCAAACCTCGTTGCAGAAGCAAAAGTCTCTCTTTTTGGGCAAGTAGAAACAGCTGTTCCTTAAATTTTTACTTGCCTTATGACATGAAAGCTGATCACAGTCCTAAGCTTACTTCGTCAATGTCAAATAGCATCTCACAGAATGCAGTGGTGTATGTTCTGAGTTCAGCTACTGTAAGACTGAAAATGAAATTTAGTGAAATCAAGTGAACTGACGTTGGTTTGTTCTAAAGTCACATTAGCTTTCCATCAGAAATGGATAAAAGGCTTAATATTTCATTTGAACATTTATTTTTGGAAATTTGAACGGAAGTTTTGTACAATTCCCCAGCGGTAACTAATTTCCTTGTGTGTCCACAGTCGGATCTACAGAAAGTACCAAGTGCCAAGGCCATTGTGGACATTGAGGATGCAATCCGCAATACAACTTTGGAAAACAAGGTTATGGATATTGAACTGGACAAGACAAGGTATATAGCAATAATGTGGTTTAACAGTACTTAACTCTTTATCTCAGGGGGAGGGGGGGAAGGGTCTTACCTACTATGCCAGACCAACTTTGGTACGAAACCTATGAGTGACATTTTCATCTTTAACTGGTAATGAAATCAAAACAAATGAACCTATTTTGATAATTGTTTAACTTATGAAAGAACGCCAGGTAAAAGAGATTTGTTTTCAGCAATTGCCAAAAACTTATATAATGTCAAAGTTCTCATAAAGGAATCTAACCAGCACAGCAGTTCTGACCACGAGCTGCTGGGAGCGGATTGCATAAGTGAGTGAGTGTGCTTATTTTTAAAGACCCTCAGAGTTCATTTAATTTTTCACTTATGGCCTTTTCTTGACTTATTCTCAAGACTGATACTGATATTGTCTCAATACATTCAAATGGTGGCTTAATCTTTAGCCTTTTCTTTGAAGAGAGCGATACATAGATTATATCCCTTTCTTCTCAATGGGTAATATCCGTCACTATACTAGGCATGCTATTACCTCCTTCAAATGGAATTGTAACTACTTTTGCTTGTGTTAAAGTTAATGGGGATTTGGAACTTCTTTTGATTGTTTTAAAGGGGCTTTGTGAAGTACAAGCGTGCAACCTACCAGTACCGTGATGCAGGGGAACGACAGAAGGATTGGAAGGAAATATATAACCACAAGAAAGTGAAGGAAGGACTGCGCAGTCAAGCTGCTCGGTGAGTATTATTTTAATTGGCATAATTAATAGGAGACAGCTGAGAATATCTTGGAAGGAAAAGAAATCAAATGAGGTGGTACTTGATGAAGACCACAGGGGATGTTCACTGATAAAAACAGTCGGTCAAAGACCGAAAAATGCAGTTTTTGGGACACCAGAATAGACATATAAAGGATTTGAACATCTAGCTCTCACTGGCAAAATTGGCAGTAAATGAGGCAGGGGTAGGCCCAGAGCAACCTACACCTAGAGAACCTGAACAGATGGGTAACGGGAAAAGATCAGGGTAACATAGCTTTTTTAAGAGCGCCCGTGCGAAGGAATGAATGAAGAACCCCGATTGCCGATGTCTGCCACAGATCTGGCACTTGATGATGATGATGATAATTAATCTTTTGCTCACACGAGGGACTTAAAAACTACTGGCTGGGTTTTTGGGCTATCAAATCACAAATTTTGTTCCGGACTGGAAACTGCTGTGATTGAATGAAAATCACAATATCAACTAATACAAAGCTCTTTAAAAAAATTTCTGTGTTGTTTTTCTGATTTTGAGTTGGGTTTTTTTATGTAGATATTTTCCACCCCCATCAACTCTAGGCTAGCCTCAGTCCTTTCTATCAGGGACGAGCAGGGGTTGAGAGGGACACATCATCCCAGCAGAATGACCAAGATACTCAGTAAAAATTCTCCCCACACAGGAATTGAACTCAGGTCTTTTGCATGCAATGGCGAAGCCATCAACTACTACACAATAGATGCCGGTGTGTTATCAGTGTTCCTGGGGTAGATACAATTAGTTGAATTATTTTGTTTGTTTTTGTAAAGTGTTTTACGGCGCTCGCAACTGCATAAGGTCATATGAGTGCGCGGGACACACCTAATATTTTCAGTTGGTAGGAAATTTTGAATTTTGCCCGGGTGGCGACCGAAGCCTACTCTTATCGATTTTAGACCACCAAAGGATCTTTAACGTGCGCAAATTGCACACGGGCCCTCCGAGATTTTTCGCCCTTGTCCGAGAAGGCTAGGTGTAGATCTTTCCTACCAGAAGATCAGGGGTGTGGCAGAAAGACAGCAGTAAGGAGGAGCCAAGGAGTAGCAGTAGACAGGCTGCAGAAAGAGTCAGGAGCCCAGAGGAGGGGGCAAAAGAGGTGAGGGGGTGGGGGCAGAAAGTGGAAATGAAAGCAGACAACAACTTTGCTAGAGAGCAGGAAAGGAGGTGAAAGGAGACAATTTTAGAGAAGAAAATTTTTCGGTCCCTACCCGGATTCGAACCCGGGACCTTTGAATGAGAGGCCAACACCTTAACCTCTAGGCCACGAGAGCCCCCCTAGTTGAATTAGGGAACTACTTCTGTCGTTAGTACTGAAGATAGGAATGAGCTATTGTACTCTTTTCTTTGCATATATTTTGTGGCGGATGCTCAACCTGTGCTTGAAATCCTCATGCGGGCCCTGAAATTACATTTCTCTATTCCTTCCCTGAATTTGTTTCTGTACTATTTATTCTCTTGCACCCGTGAAGGAGGACACTGAAATGGCCTACATTGTGCACAGCGTGGCATTTTACAACAAGAACAACCATAAAAGTGGACGCAAAGCAGGGTTGTTTTTTGTTTTTTATTTTATTTTTATTTTCACGAATTCATGACACCTGGCAACTGTTTGTCCCAGGTGTATGGACTGTGGAGTCCCGTTCTGCCAGTCTGACAATGGTTGCCCACTCAGCAACCTGATTCCTCGCTGGAATGACCTGGTCTTCAAGGTACAGTATGAGCATGAGCTTTCCGAAGAAAACCATTTATCTCATAATTGTTGTTCTTGTAGTGGTGTACATTCATACCCATACTCTCTTGCAACTCACTGCAGTTACTTCTAACTTGAGGTCCGACCCACAAGCACAAAAGGCTTTTCTTTTTCCCTTTTATTTTTTGGTCAGTTCAGAGGTAGATGTTGCGATTTCCACTTTTGTGTTATCGTTTCTCATCTTCCAGTAAGTTGTAACTCATACAATTTTATTCTGATTCAAATTATTCTTCCTTCAATAGTACTAAACACATTAGTAATTACTGTTTCTGTTTGAGGCAGCATTACCACTCTACACGTTATGTAAGTACACATAGCCTACTGGTACCTTTCTTCTATTCACGTAAGTCTATAAAATGTCTTAGGACTGAGACGTACCACACTTGTTTGGTTTTCAGTTCTTCACACCTTGGATGTAGTTTTTACTGCAATTTTATATATGGATTGATGTCTCGCATCCCTCTTCCTGTCTCTAATTATAGCTTCCCATTGCTAAAAAGAAAACCCCAAAATCCAGCATCAAACAAAAAAGAAAAAAATAAATTAAGCATTTTATTTGTCATATATATCTTCAAATTTGCTTTAACACTTACTGTACCATCAGCGACTTTAGTCACCCGGCCGCAGTATGCGCTCACTACCGCTGGCGACTTTAGTCACCGAAGCAACCAGGCGCACTAAACATAATTAGACAGTGAAGTGCACTGCACTGAAGTATATACCAAAGGAAGTAACTCTATATGATAGCTGAATGGTTGATGTACCTCTGAATTTTTAAAGCGTGTTTCTGGGGCTTCCAAGGGTTTTTTTATTTAAAAATTTTTTACCTCGGCTTCAGCGTTCTAAACCGGTGCGGTTCTTGAGGGTTTTTCACCATATGAGCCTGCCGTACTGTGAGTTAAGCTGTCTTGTTAATGGCGATTTTTTTACTTTTCCATTCATTTATTGATTTACTCATGGTGGTTGCTCTTCTTTCACAGTGACAAGAAATAAAACTGTTTGTTTGTTGTTTTTCTCCCCCCCCCCTCCCCCCCAGAATGAATGGAGGCTTGCTCTGGATAACCTCCACCAAACCAACAACTTCCCAGAATTTACTGGTCGTGTCTGCCCAGCTCCATGTGAGGTAGGCAAAGAAAGTTTCTGTCTAGCCGCTGAAAGTGAGATATTTGACTTCTGAAAAAACACTGGCGTCACAACACAGTGGAATCAGGCGCTCGTCAGTTTTTAGGCTTACTATGGAGTTATTGGTACCATCTTAAACTTAAAGCCTGTTCATTTGCCTTGCTTTGGATGAAAAAAGTATTCTTCTATCTTGAATAGAAGTTGAGATATTTGCGAGAAAATGGCTGCCAAAGTTTGGTCACTACCATAGCTTGAGAGTCCTTGAAAATTAAAAAATTTACAGTTGTTGTGCCTTTAATCAACGTTTTTGGGTAAAATCCATTCAGAAATTAAATGTTTTTTTTAATGGATGAAAAGATGTTGAGCCGAAAAACAAAAATTTGATAAAATTTGCCAAACCAGCAGAAAAATGCCTGTATCTTCAATTTCATTATTTTGGCGAACACCTGATTTCACAACGATGTCTCACACTGATGTTTGCCCAGGTTGGAGCATTAATTATGCCACATAGAAATGTGTTGCTTTCCCTACAGGGACCATGCAGTCGTTTGCAAGAGCTATAATAAAGGTTAAAAAATGATAATGAATTAATGGAACACCAAAGGAAAAGTGAATAACTCACAGTGGAAACCTGATATAACAGATACGGTGGGACCTGAAAATATTGTCCTGTAATATCAGTTCCCTGTTAAATCAGAAATGCAAGGGAAGTAAGCATATGTGTACTAATCCAGCTGTGTTTATTCATGGGTAGTTTCCCTTGCCACAAGTTCCCATGAACAGGGGTTTTGGCCATGTGGCAGGCCTGAGTATGACACATTACTCGTGCGTGTAGCTAGACTTAGGGCTAGATCAAAGTCTGCAGCACACTGCAACCCTCTCTCGCTTCATCCACTGCGCGGGCTTGCAGTGGCATGGCTTGCATGGCATGGGCTTGCTCCATCACTGCATTTATCTCTCTCTCTCTCTCTCTCTCTCTCTCTCTCTCTCTCTCTCTCTCTCTCTCTCTCTCTTTCTCTCTCTCTTTTACTTTTTACAAATTGTTAATGAGCCTTTGTCCCTGCTATAACTGACTGGGCTCCGATGAGGCCCTGTTCTTGCCCATTACTTTTGATACAGACAATGACTGAATGAGTTGGAAAAAACGGGGATTTAAAAAATCCCTGTTATTACCGGACCCCTGTTATTGCTGGGCTTATGGTGGCAACTGTACAATTAAGAGGACGTCAGTTTCGATCTTTTTGTGTGTTTATCTTCTATGAATTTGGGATTTGCCTGCTAATAAGTAATATGGGATAGATACCCACAACAAGAATACACCATGAATACTATCCGAACCGTGGGAACATATTTTCTCTTCATTCTTTGTTTGTTCTCATTGACAGGGCGCCTGTGTGCTAGGCATCAATGCGCCTGCAGTGACGATCAAGAACATTGAGAATTCCATCATCGACTATGGCTTCCAGCAGGGCTGGGTGCAACCGGTGGTTCCTTCGGTGCGCACAGGCAAGAGAGTCGCTGTAGTGGGTAGCGGGCCCGCAGGCCTGGCTGCAGCTGCACAGCTCAATAAGGTAAGTAGATCTAGTAACAATGGGCTGAGGATGCCACTCTTTGCATTTGCAAGGCGTGCGGACAAAATGAGTTACTTCTCGCATTTTAGCCCAATGGATGGAAATAGATATGTCAAATTTATGGGTTGAGTTTTTACAATTTTTTTTGGTATGAAATGATAAAACAAATGTCAAACTTAAACTTAAAGAGAATGGCTTTGATTAAGAATCCACAAATATGACCCTTGTGTCACTTTTTGGCCAATATCTCCATTCATGGGTTGCGAGAAGTAACTCATTTAGATCTAGTCAGCACACTTTACATTTGTATGTATTCCTATGGAAATAAATCAAAGATCAAAAGACCAAGTTTTGCTCTATAGCTCGGTATGTGTGTCATCCAAAGACTGAAGTGTAGGTTTTGCAAAAGTTGAATGTTTATTCCCTGCTTTGTTGCAGTAAATGTAGTGTAAAGTAATGGGAACATTCACATTTTCAGCATTTAATTTAAAAGATGTTTCAAGCAATAAAAGCATACATAGTCTACCAAAATGTTCAGAAAAGAATGAAGATTTAACATCTATGGGGAAACAGTTGCAGGACAGACAATCCAATATTTATGATGAATGAGGGAAACAAAAATCATAATGTGGCGTCTAGTCAGAAGAATTGCTGACTTGTGAGAGTGAAATCTTTGTTTTTGCAAGCATACATTTGGTTAAGTGTGTGTGGTGTTTTGGGGTGTGTGTGGATGTCTATTTTATGTTTGCATTTTTTGTAAGTCCCCTTTCCTGTGTGGTCACCCATTCCTCTGTGTCAGGTTTTTTTTTCGTAATGTATGTTTTTTGTGGTGTAAACTGATTGAGGTTTGATTGATTGTACCGTGAAGGGGTTAAATACCTATGAAAAAGATTAAAATATTTTAGAGGAATAATCTCTCTAATCTCTTGATTTTTTTGTTTCAGTAAGTGTTTTATGGGGCTCGCGACTGCATAAGGTCATATGAGTGTGTGGGACACATTATGCATTTTTAATTTGGAAGGAATTGAATATTGCTCGGGTGGCGGCTGAAGCCTACTTTTATCGAGAATTTTAAGACCACCAAGGGATCTTTATTTAACGTGCGCAACTTGCACCAGTACAGGGTCCTCTGAGATTTTTTCACCCTAATCCAAGAAGGCTAAATGATACCTACCGTAAGATCAGGGGTGTACTCTTATGTCTCTGTCAAGATTTTTCAAAAGCAGCTTTAAGTTATCCTCTCAGATTTTTTTTACACATGAACTTAATTTTGTTTTGTTCATCAAAAATTTATCTTGGAAATGTGATTACAAAGAGTGTATATTTCATGTAATCTCTTTGTAAGCACTAATATTTATTCTTTCTTTTCATGTCTTGTGTAGGCTGGCCATTTGGTGACGGTGTTTGAAAGGAATGACCGTTTAGGAGGTCTATTGAGATACGGTATCCCGACAATGAAACTGGACAAAGATGTGAGTGTGCTGTGGGCTTATTTTGGGAAATGTCAATCCTCAAACTTGGTCTAAGTTGGGAAACGATATACTCCTTCTTCTTCTCCTTCTTCTTCTCCTTCTCCTACTTCTTCTTCTTTTTCTTCTTCTTCTTCTTCTTCTTCTTCTTCTTCTTCTTCTTCTTCT